GTATCACCTTCTTTAATATTAGATATTTCTTCACCACCTCTCTTGTTCCTAACTTTAATCTTATCCTCTTTTAATTTGTCCGCGACATATTCGTAAAGAACTTTTAGACGTTTCCTATTTGACACTGAATTAGCGGTAGCACCGTCGTCTGATATTTCTACAAGTTCTATCGGTCTCTCACATTCTGTGTCAGAGATATCCATTCGATTTTCATTTTCTAAATCAAACAATGACATATCGCGCTGAGACCTAGGGTTTTTGTTCCTAACTATCACAAACTCGTCATTAAGTTCTTGTATTACTTGTTGAGGTCTTTCGTCATTATCGTCAATATTAACCAAAGTCGAGTCGAGGTCATCGTCAAGAGCATTAATTCTTATTCTAGACGATTCATTATTCTTATTCGGTATTGTTGTAGCTATCATAAAAAAAATTCTTATCTGATCATGGTTTGAACTAGTCGGGTTCGATTCACAGTCATATGAACAAGACGGTTGAATATTATCAATATTAGTATAATTAACGCGTCTTGAACTGGCTGTTCTCATCGTAATATCGGTATTGGAGGTCGATGGCATGGGCGATTCTTGGTATTGTAATCCATTGTTCGTAAAATGCCGACGCTGCTGTGACGACGACTGTTTTACTGGTGACCTAAATACCGTGTTATAATTGTTTCGATTATTTAATGTTCTATCATTTCTAAATTGGAAAGAATTATTATTTGAACTATTTTGATAATTGGATGCATTCGAGTTCATTTGGACGTTATGGGTTGGAGAATTAAAATTATTAACTTGTCTCGGATAAAAATTCCTATTTTGGAACGAATTAAAATTATTATAATTAGGTCTAAAATTTTGATTGGACCTTGGGTTCTTACTATCATAAACCGTTTGAAAATTTTGTTCTTCCAACACGGTTTTTAAAGCATCTTCCAGCGTGGTAACATTACGTAATCTCACTAATCTTACAAGGTACGCTGGTAAATTAAATAAGAAAACATTTAATGCCGAATTATTATATATCGCTTGTTTGGCCTGTCTTATTTCGGGGTTGTTAATGGTTTCATTTATTTTGGAGAATAAAATACTCCTTAAATGTTGGACACGATGACAGAAATCTAAATGACTTTCGTTCTTATCCTTTTTTAGGGAATCTAATTCCATAGCCAGACAATCTTCTGACCTTGGATCGCCAAAGTGTTGGCTTAATAATAACTTAAGGTTATCCCAAGTATCTATTTGTTCCCGTTCCCCAACTAGACTTGCGGCTTCCCCGGATAATCAACTAGTAATTACGTGAAACAGATATTCATTTTGTAAATTGCCACCTTGAAATGTCTGTAAAATATATTCGCATTTTTTAATGAATAATGGTAATAATCTAGAATCACCATCAAAAACAGGAATAATTTTTACCATTTCTACAGGTACTCTTACAATATTTTCCATTTTGAATATATAAAAAAAAAATTTACCTATAAAATAATTGTATAAACCTAACTTCTATTAACAATATTTTGATTGTTTAATAAAAATATTTTTCCGGCGTTTTCCAATCCGAAATAAACGTATAACTAATACAAGAGGAAAACAAGGAAAGTCACGGGAAGTGAAAAGTTTTACTCACAGTCCTGTTATCTTGACCATGCTCCTCCGGGATACTGCTAGTTCTTGGCTGCTCTTCCACCGATGCCGTGCTGTCCTTAACTTATTTATTTGTTCGGCGATCTCCGTTAAAACGTTAAAACGTACGTTACCCGGTTGGTACTAGATCACGAAAAAAAAACGCGGTATAACTTCTTCCAGGCAACTATGGAGATCCTACCGGCTGCGCCAGTAAAGGAACGGCAACGGACTTTTGGTTTAAAAATAATTTATTTAAATCAACAGAGTGACAGCACTTAATTAAGAACTAAACAATAATCAACTTAATATCTATTTCTTCGTGCATTTATACATTCAGATTTACTTACTAAGTATTGGTCGTTGCTGACGCACGACCTACATTCGGCTTAGTGCTAGCAAAGCATATATTAATAGGGTTGGTACTCTTAACTAGCGCGCGTTAACGCGGCGCTCAGAGAAAAAGTCTCTAGACGCAGGTGATCGCGCGTTGACGCGCGCTTTGATATTAATGTAATGTCCGTTTGCTGTTCAATTGAGCGCGCGCTTTCATCGCGATCGCATGTAATATTGTTAATTTTCGTAATAATATTTATAACAAACTGGGTCTATTTTTCAAAATTGGATGAACCCAATGTGTACGTTTTCTTTTTCTATATTTTTCTTTATAATATAACCACAAAATAATAGCCTCTTCCACGTCCATTTTCTACGTTCTACCGAACTAGACTGACGAGTTCTCTCTCAACGCGCATTAGCGCTCATCATCTGAACTCTCTTCAAATTTGATCCCGCGTTGACGCGTGTTGACGCGCGTTAACGCGCGTTACATGTGAACATAGCCTTACGCAAACCTAACTGCAAGCAGGAATTTATGTAATATATAATACATAAAAATTTAAGGTACATACATTTTTTTTATTCCAATGAATAAAAAAAGTCAATTTTATTATTTTCTGTCTTGTACATAGATAATCACAAATAACTAAACGATTTTTTATTATCAATATAGATTATGAAACTCAAAATGAATTTATAAAATGTGCAGATGTCAGGGATAATTCAAAAAGGCGCTTTAATCTACGAGTATCCCTTCGTGGAAAGGCGTTGGTCGCGCTATACCGTTTATTCAATTTAAAAACTTGAAGTAAAAACTCTGTTACAGTAAGAAACACTTCCCTTATACATAATAAACATATAAATTAATTATTTCCTTATATTTTGAATTAATTAAATAATCTAACTATGAACTTACATACTAAACTACGAGATTAATTACTAACGACATATTTAAGGAAATATTAAGTTTTTCAGCATCAATTGGTGTATATAATAATAATTACTAAAATAACTAATAGTAACTATATATATCCTGCTACTACTTTGGTATTGAATCCCTGGAATATAAATATTACGGCCTGATGTCTGTACAAGTTATTTCCAACGGTTTAATTGACTGTCCCGACTTATTGTCACTTTTACCATTTCACCCCCTCACCCCTTCTTCATACGATACAAGGCAAATCCAACTATTTCAAATTCCTCGGTCTAATACAAACTATTTACGTAACTCAGTCATGTATCGTATACCTTTAGATTATAACACAAATTACCAGCAAATAGATATATTTAATATAACTAAATAATGCTTTAAAAATAGTATAAAAAACTCTGGTATTCTTTATTAGATAGAATGGCTTTGATATTCCTCTTTTAAGTATATTAAATATATTGTAATGATCAATGCATCTTAGAATTTGTTATACATTTTTTTTGTATAAGTAGGTCTGTAACTGTGTTTTATTTTTATGTTTGAATGAGTATTAATTTTTTTGATATTGTATAATAAGTGCTGTAGAAATATAAGCAAATAAATAAACCGTTATGTATTTATTAATGTCCGATAGCTGTTAATTTATGCATATTTTTTCCCAACAAAAGCCTACAGTGATGGTATTTCCAATATAGTTTACATATACATATATTTCAAATAATTATGTAGTTTTGTTCCTGTTTTGCTAAATAAAATTCGAGTGTAAACGCTTGGGTCAAAAAAAGAAAAAACAAAGAAGTTTAGTTTTTTTTGGATTTTTCTTTTTATTGCCATCCTGCTTAGGAGTGCCCATATACGTATATATGTGTCCCTATGGTATTGGTAAGCCTTGGATACCATGGCTTCCATTTCCAAAGGAGTACAAGTCGTTTTTCACGCCACGCTGCTCTCGACACACCCAGTGGCATTCTGATAAACAATAAACTACAAGGTCCCTCATCAGAATGCCAAATCGTAAAATGACTGCTTCACGACTGATTTGAGCGCGACCGCCGCTGCGAAAACCGCTGTGTGAGTTCGAAAAGTGAGTTACAGAATCGCAAGGCTGGGCTGGCAAAATGCCACGGGCCCCCGACCCAAGAGCGCCCCTGCCCAAGAGATATTATCTTCTATGGATGAATGTGAAGTCTCCAATACGCATTGGGCTAGTGTTGCTACATTCCCTCTCGCCTAAGAGAGGAGGCCTATAGCCATTAGTGGGACATTTACAACGTGTAATTAAGTACGCGGAAAATCTCGAAGTTAATTAAAATAAAACTGAGTACAACGTGACGATTTTTACTGATAGGGCCCTATCAAAAGAATTTTCCACGGGCCCCAGATGTTATAGTTACGTCACTGCATACACCGCTCTCTTGCCTCCGTCAATCTGCCATTTTGGAGCCAACAGGCATCGCTAGGAACGATGACAAGCGGATGGTATGATACCTTGGAGGATGGAACGGGTTTGGATACTTGTGTGGACTGGTAGGCCCAGTCCCATCTCTCTCTTATACAGTTATATTCCTATTTATTTTTAAAACACAAATATACAGTATTAACAATATTCATAACCTAATAGTAATAATAATAAAAAGAAAAATAAATAAATTTAAAATGTTTGGTGTTTAAAGCTGGCGTTTCCTCGCTATATTACGATACATATTCGTTAAGGAAAACACCACCTCTGGGGTCACCGGTCGAACCAGGCGCCAACTTAAATCTTTAATTAGCTGTGCACTTAAACCTCACGGCCCAAGTCTCTTCTCCTTTTAGATTGATTGATTTAAAAAAAAATTGTGAGACTTATTTTGTGAGTTTAATTTTAATTCACTTTTTTGTGTGATTGATTTATTTTAATTTTCTTTCTTGTGAGACTGATTTATTTTAAATTTCTTTTTTGTATGATTGATTTATTTTAATATTCTTTTTTGTATGGTAATTCCATACGTATGTCACCCTATAAACCACGCGGTTTAACCCGCTGAGGCATCAAAACATGGAACTCGTTTCCACAAGGAAAAACCTAAACTTATTTATATAATTGCAAGCTAATAATCATGACAGTCGCATCCAAGATGGGACCGCTAACACAGTATTTGTTCCTGGCGTGTTTAATAAACATTTCCTATGCTCTGTATTTATCGTCACACGATTCAAAATATGCGGTAAGTTTAGTTTGTATATTAATATTAATAGAATTGTTTTTTCATACTCAAATCTATATTAATTCAGCGTTGTAATCGTAAATATTGCAGCCGTTTATCTTCGCCGTGTTTTTGTAGACAATTAGATGTTTGACACATCGATTTTTGGGTTTGAGACGCTTTTCTCACGGTCTTTGACATAGAAAGATAGTTCCTTTGGTCATTCGGACAGACGAGCTAAGACAATTACTGTCAAAAATTATTATTTTTTGCTCTTTATTTATTAGCCTCATAATATATATATTACATGACAATTTTTGTTTTTACTAGTAAAAAATAGCTAATTAAAAATACTAAATTCTTTTAATTTGTTTTCGGTAATAGGCGCTTAACAACGCTTTTTTATTTATTTATATTAAAGCCACATCATATAAAATGCTATATCTACAGTATGTGTTGCTTGTATCTTTACTCAAATATATGACAATTATAGTACAGTTACAAAAAATTAAAATATTACACTTACAATTTCAGATTGTACTTTTACTAGCAAAACAGCGGATTAGGTCAGATAGGCGCTTAAAAATGCTTTTATTAAAATTAATCCGCTCACCGAATACATCAAGGTATTAATAAGTTTATTCTGTATACATGTTCATGCATAAATAAGATATATTTATTTCCAAAATATTTAAACGTCATGCGTTTTTTTTTTAATTTTTTTTATATGGCTCTGACATTAGCCAGCGTCAAGTATAAGATTTTTATAATTCCTGCTTGCCTTAGAAATTCGACCGTGTCCTCCATGTGCTGTTTAAGCACTCGCCCGGTACCGCACAACCCTCCCAAAAGCCGAAAACAAATTTAAATTAAATTAAAACTTGCCCATTGAACCGGGAATCGAACCCGGTACCACAAACCATGCGTTTTAATTATGATATTTTAATTTTTTTTTAGTGTAAATTGTCAACTGTCAATTCATAATCTTAATTTGGTCTACAGACGTCAGATATATCTTACGAAAAGATTTCATTTTTTATTATCGGTTTTGATAATTGAATGATGTCAGCCACTTAATTCAGCTACTCGGATTTGATGCATAAATGTTAAGAATGTGTAACCCCCTATGATTTTAATTATACTAAAACAAGTTTTTGCATTATGATGCGGACTAACGAGCGGCAATTAGCTTTGTATAATCAGAATTAGATTTTTTTTAAATTTGATTCTTTTACTACAATAACAAATAAAATTTCTGATTTTGATATTAAGAACTATCCTTCTCATTACAGTAAATAAAATTATTGATTTTGAAATTAAGAACTATCCTTTTTATTACAATCTAATATATAAAATTCTCGTGTCGCGGTGTTTGTGGTTAAACTCCTCCGAAACCACTCGACCGATTCTCATGAAATTTTGTGTGCATATTGGGTATGTCTGAGAATCGGACAACATCTATTTTTCATCCCCCTAAATGTTAAGGGTAGTCCACCCCTAAATTTTTATTTTAGATAAAAAAAATATTCTTTATGTTTTATGATACAGCATTAAAAAATACATACAACCCCTAATTTTCACCCCTCTACGATCAACCCCTATTTTTTAATATAAATGATATACATGGCAAAACCACGTTTGCCGGATCTGCAAGTAATAAATAAAGTTACTGATTTTGAAATAAAGAACTTTTTTATTACTATAATAAAAAAAGTACTGCGGCAAATATTTTGAATTTGAGAATAAAATATTGTCGGCCAACTTTAGTATCTTTTAAACTTACGGACCTAATCCGTGGCTATCCATGGACTATCTATTTGCTAATTTAACACTCGTATAGCGACAGAAAAGATTGTAAGACATGCTTTAAACTCTAATTTGACGGCAAACTAACTTAAAACTAGGGATGCATCGATAGGTACGCTTTATCGTTTGGTATCGAAAACAATTACCCTTCGCCGTCGCACATAAGCCCTAGGTACAAAGAGTTATTGACGACCACTTGGGGCGCTAACCGCAAGAGTTAGTAAATGACCTGAGGTCGTAGGTTCGATTCCCGGCTGTGCACCAATGGACTTTCTCTCGATGTGCGCATTTAACATTCGCTCGAACGGTGAAGGAAAACATCGTGAGGAAACCGACATGTCTTAGACCCAAAAAGTCGCCGGCGTGTGTCAGTCACTGGAGGCTGATCACCTACTTGACTATTAGATTTAAAAATTATCATGAAACAGATTCAGAATTCTGAGGCCGAGACCTTAAGAGGTTATAGTGTGTTATAAATTTCAATACATTTCACAAAACTTTAATTTTTTTTTAAATACATACTTTGACGCATTTCCTGCAGCTAAAATCACTTGGGGGTGTTCCAATCAAGGGTCCCCGAGACTCCTGCATAATCAGTATCATAAGATTCGGGTGAGTCACTCTCACACCCAACCCCACAATATATACATGATTTAATTTGTAATATTTAAGAAATGTTATTAAAATTGACAACTTAATTAAATTTACGTGAAAATACATTTGCATTAATCATAACGAAGGATTCACTGATCCGTCAATTTTTTGTTTCTTTTTATAATTCAGTGGCAAAATATAGGATAAGATTTCTATATTTTCGTTATAAGTTTTTTAATCGGTCTGTTATGTTTTCCCTCTCTTATTTTTTAAAATTTATCAATACTAAATATATATTCATATTTTACAATAATGTTACTAAATAAATGTAACAAATAAAAAAAAAGAATTAAACCAGTGGCACTACAACCTTTATAGGTCTTGCCCTCAGATTTCTGTATCTGTTTCATGATAATTTCACAATATAATAGACAAGTAGCTGATAAAGCTTAGGTTTCCTAGAAAAGCGGTGCCGTTAACTAACGGCCGTCATCTTACGGTTGTTAATAACGGCCGTCTTTACTTTTTTAACATAATACATAATAACATAAACAAAAGAACAATCGTTTTCGCTCGTCTCACGTTTCCACTCATTGTATTAATTAAATATGGGCACCGGTACACGCGAAAAACTAATGTTTATCACCGCTATAACGGCCGTCACGCAAATAACAGCACCGCTATTTGACGTTACGGTGACAACGTTTACTAGGAAACCTACTCCGATGTTATTTATAGACAACGTATGGGTGACATCACCCAACGCTACACTACGGCCGTTAGATAACGGCACCGCTTTTCTAGGAAACCTAAGCTTTAGCCTAAAGTGCCTGTCACACATCGTCGTAATATTCCATTCCATAGTGGTATTACATTCTAGACATTCGCCAAAATTACCGTCGTAATGTACGATTACTGTGTCGTCCGTAATTATGTTTAAACAGTGAAACGTCTTTGTTGTACCAATGGGCATAATTTTCAGGGTTACTTGATCAAGTACGGTTACTTGAGAAGATCCAGCCTCAGGCGTCAGGGCGGCAGCACAAATGTGGACGACGAAGACTTCAGCAACGCTCTGAGTAACTTCCAGAACTATGTTCAAATTCCAGCATCAGGTAGGATTTCTAATCTTAATATATATAAATTACGTGTCACGTTGTTTGTCCGCTATGGACTCCTAAACTACCGAAAAGATATCAATCAAATTTGCACACCGTGTGCAGTTTGGTCCAACTTAAAAGATAGGATAGCTTACATCTCAATTTATACCCGCAATATTATTTTATAGGAAATTATTTGTTTATTATTTGATAGTCACAATTATAATAGATGGCGCTGTGTTGAAAGTACCAACGTTCCACATAAGCTACAATTTAATGGCATAACCACCAAAAAAGCATGGTGGTCCCCATGACTGGTGTTCTCCTACCGTTTCCCTTGAATAGTTTGCTACTATGTAATATAACAAAAACCTTAGCCACAGCAACGCTTGGCCGGTCTGCTAGTATAATATAGTTTAACGATTTTGTAAATGTCATTTCTCAAACGTTGTGTTGTCGAATTGTAATGTTTATTACAATTCGACACACCTTATCACTTGGCGTATAAAAATACGAAATATATAAAGCATTATATTATGTGAATGGGCAAAATCACTTAAATAAAATAGCGTCCATAAAAGTTTAATATGTCAAATATATAATATATCTAATATTATATATGTAGATATATATACATAAATTCTATACATTATACATTGAAATAAATAACTAACCTTAACATAAACGAAAATATATTATTAAAAGGAGTCCCTTTAGGCAAGGTTCCGAAGATACTGGCAGCGTTCCCCCTTTGAATCGCTAGACTAATTCTTTGTCCGAGGTAGCTGCCAGATCTTCGGTCTCCTGTGATTTCGACTAACCTTTTTGAATATCTAATATATAAAATTCTCGTGTCACAATGTTCGTTCCCATACTCTTCCGAAACGGCTCGACCGATTCTTATGAATTTTTTTATGCATATTCAGTAAGTCTGAGAATCGGCTACTATCTATATTTCAAACCCCTAAGTGATAAGGGGTGTCCCCCCAAAAAAAATTTTTTTGGATAAGTTTTTATTTTTATTTTGTGGCATTAAAAATACATATTGGTATGTTATTTAAAGCTGGCGGCTTCAACACATTTACACTTTGTGCTTGTCTAGTGTCTGTGAATAAGCGCGAGGCGTGACGTCACACTGAATATGTCCGTCTCTCTCGCGCTCGGTCAAGCTTATGAGTATAAAAGTGACAGTTATTGTTTTGCTTTTGCTACTGTTTATGTTGATCTTTACTGTACATGTTGATCTTTTCTCAAACATTACCAGGACAATCTCGTGAAATGGTGCACAATGTTTTTAATTATTTTAAGCATCTTAATAAAAACAGTTTAATGAAAAAAAGGTTATTTTTAATTTGACATCAGATGCGACTGGGGTTTCTAAGAGGAGTATTGAAAGAATTGTTATTGAAGTAAAAGTGAAGTGTGTTGAGCTAGATGGAGCTTATGTCGAAAAATGAAAAATTCTTTACATTAACTACTCTTTTTGGTCGGGCTTTGAACTTTTGGATCCACCCTCGTATGCACATAATATTTATATGAATTCGACACATTTTTATTTATTTACAACCCAACACAACCTTACTAAAACCAGAGTAGACTAAAATATATAGCTTGGCAAAAAAATCATATTTTTAAACATACTGTATAGTGGAATTGCATTAGTGTGAGTACTGTGAACGCGCCAGCTTTCGATAACCGACCTATACAATCCTTAATTTCATCCCTGTACGATCAACCCAAATGTTTTATTTGTTAAATAAAACTTTAGACTTGAACTCCGAGGATTATATAGAGAAAAATTCACAGAGAAACCTAAAAGTTTTCATTCCGGAAAACTGAACATTCTCTGGGGTAGTATACCAAAATGTGCCATGTTGGTATGTACTTAAAAGGGTAGACTAAGTAAAATCACATTAAGGAGAAACAAAGTTCGCGGGGGAAACTAGTTAAAATATAATATTTAAGATAAACAGAGACAAACACATCAAGTTTTCAATTGCCTCTAATCATAATAAACAGTCTGATGTTTCACAGCACTTATAATGTTTCAATGCGTAAAAGACAATCTTCAAAAGTCCTTTTTAATAGGTGTAATTGAAATAAACGATAAGACTTTTTTTTAATTTTGTTTTGGATAGTTTAATTATAGAAGAAGGCTATTTGGCAAAATTTAAAAAAACAATTGATGTCTATGTCCGATGATGAAAAACAAATGTAAAAAATAAGTGCGTGCGTACAAAGTACACAATATGTCAAAAGTGAAACTTCTTTGGCAAACTAATTTTTAAGTCTTGTTCATATTTATACAAATCTGAAACTTTAGATTTAGTCCATTGAAAAGTTACATTTGGGGTTGCGTTTTTTAGAGGACGCAATTTTATTTATGGAGCATGTAGGGGGGTCAATACAAGCTTAACTCCAAGTTTGTGGGGTTGGCGTGCTTGTACCCCGGCCGCCATCTTGGATAAAGGGGTCCAAAAACCACGTTTTTGGCTATATCTCCTAAACTATCAATCGTACATAAAATTTGTAAAGACACATTTTGTAGCAAATCGCTGTGTCTACGATTTCTTTACGCTCTCTTCCTTTTCTTCGACAAAAAAGCTGCACATCTTGCTAATACGACGTGGACAGTGGTCACCAAAAGCTGAACGAACGAACGAAATCCTGCTTACCTAGTGACTCCAACGGCCTGGCCAAACCACAAGAGATAGGGTTTTTAAAAGCTGTAGAAGATTAGTGAAAAAACGACCTAATAAAATACACAGAGGAATACGACGCTGGCAGGAAATGCTATTAAAAATAAACATTCGCAGCCTCTTAGCTAAATCATACTTGGGAATATACAGGAAAATGGAACAATGATTCAATTGTGGCCAACTGGAGTAAATGAAACGTAGGTATGTTATTAAAGTATGAATCAACCATGCATCCTGCGATAACACAGTTTAAATAAAAAAAAATAAAAAAAATGTCTTAACTGACTTTTAAAAGAATGTTTTCACCTTTGTAATATCTAAATTAAGTAAATAGTAATACAATAAAGTAATTTTATGAATAAAAAAAACAGGAAAAAAATAAACGTCTTAAATATCTTCCAACTTCGATTTTGTTCCCTTTGGAGTAGAGACTCTTGGGCCGTGGGATTCAAGTGCACAGTTAATTAGAGATTTAAGTTGGTAGATAGTACCGGTGACCCCAGAGTTGGTGCTTTCCTTAACGAATAAGTATATACAGCGAGATTTAGTCCAATCCTCTGGAATATTTTCCGTTTTAATAATTTCGTTAAATATATTTGTAAGCATCGGACCAATAACTGGTGATGTAATTTTCAGTATTTCATTTGTAATGAGGTCTGATCCTGGAGCTTTATCATTCTTTTGTGTACTAATTGCTTTTGTGGTTTCTTCGTTTAGTATTTCAGGTATTTCCTCTTCAGCGGTAGATGCATCATATTCTCTTACCACTTGTCCCAGCTTTTGACTTTGATATAAATTTCGATAAAATTCTGTAGCAGCTTTTAGTATCTCGGGTCTCTTCTATGTAATTTTACCATCCTTCTTTTTTATATTTAGTATCCAATCCTTTAGTTCTTTCAGTGCCTTTTTCATTCCTCCGGTTTTTTTCTATATAATTCTTCATAGTATTAAATCGTTTCGTTTTTCTTTCGTTCCATAGTTTTTTGCTTATTTCTGCGATTTTTCGGCGGTTGTCTCTAGTTTTCTTTTCTTGTAGTAGTTCCTTACGTTTCTGTAGTAGTTGTTTACTTTTGAGTGACACTCGCTTCTTTCTGTTTGTGTTTACTTTTCTAGGTATAGTTTTTAGTTGGTTTAGTAGTTTGTTGTATTTTTCTTGTATTGATTCTTTACTGTCTATTGATATTTGTAAATTATTAAGTAGGACTTCTGGTTCGCATTTGTATTGAAAAACTGTGTATTTATTATGAAATCGTCTTGTTTTCTTAGGGCGTATCCCTGTCAGTGTAGCTTGAATCATTCTATGGTCTGTGTTAAAATTTAAGTTATGTATGACCGACACATCTTTGAATATTTTTCTATTGTTAGTCATAATAAAGTCAATTTCGTTCTTATAAAGGCCGTTCGGTGAGATCCATGTCCATTTCTTTTTATAAAAGCTATTTAGGATACTTAGTCTGTTTTGTAATGCAAAATTTACCAACCTTGTTCCATTTTTCTCCGATATTTTGTGTACCGATTTGGCCATTAAAATCTCCCATTATTATGACGTTTTGATATGCAGTTTTAATTGTATTTTGGAGGTCTTCGTAAAATTTCTCGATTTTTGTTGTCTTCCTTTTTGCTAGATTCCGTTGGTGAATACGCCTGGATAATGGACCAATCTTCTTCTTTTTCTATATTAAGTTTAATGTTAAGAATTGCGATACGTTCAGTTATTCCCCTTAGTTCTTCTATTTTGTTTATAAGATATCTTTTAATCATGAATCCTATTCCATACATACCCGGCGTCTCTCCTTTATGATATAATATATACTTTCCATGGTCTTCTATATGTTCTCCAAATCTTCTCATTTCGCTGAACCCTATAATATCCCATTTTATTTCTTGTACAGCTAGTTCAAGTTATTCAAGTTTTTCGGGTGTTCTAAGAGATCGACAGTTGATGGTTGCTATTTGAATATCATTCGTTTTCTTTTTAGTGTGAGTATTGACGTTGACGTTATTTTTAATCTTTAGAGGTTTGGACTAAATCTACAATAATATTACTACACAAAAAAGGTGACAAAGGAGATATAGCAAATTACAGGCCCATAAGCTTAATGTCTAATATTTATAAGGTATTTTCTAAAATACTATTGAGGATTACAAATATTCTTGAAGAGAATCAGCCCAAAGAACAAACTGGATTCCGTCGAAATTTTTCAACCATAGATCATATACACACCCTTAGACAAATATTACAAAAATATAAAGAATACAACAAAAGCTACTATCTAGGGTTTGTCGATTTCAATAAAGCATTCGACACACTAGAACACGGATATATCTGGGATGCACTAAAAATACAGGGTGTACAAACAAAATACATACGATTACTTCGTAATGTATACACCAAGAGTACTGCGCAAGTCAAGTTAGACGATATAGGCGAAGAATTCCCAATAATGAGAGGTGAACGCCAAGGAGACCCTATCTCACCCAAATTATTTTCTGCCGTTTTGGAAATAATATTTAGGAACCTGGACTGGACAAATGAGGGACTAAACATAAACGGTGAAAACTTGAGTCACCTACGCTTTGCAGACGACTTAATAATATTCTCGGAAAATTCAAGATCACTAGAAATGATGCTGCAACAACTAGCAGATGTAAGTGACAAAGCTGGACTATCGATGAATTTAAATAAAACAAAAGTCATGACAAACTCATCACAAACAGACACGATACAAGTAAATAATGAGCAAATAGAGTACGTACAGGAATATGTATACTTAGGACAGTTAATATCTACTGAAGGCTGCATGGAAAAAGAGGTTGAAAGAAGAGTTACCAATACTTGGAAAAGATATTGGTCACTCAGTGAAGTGATGAAGAACAAAGATATGCCTATGAAAGAAAAGAGGAAGGTATATAATATGTGCATTCTACCATGTTTACTATACGGGTGTCAAACTTGGGCATTGACAGAACATCTAGCAAATAAAATTAAAGTTTGTCAAAACAGCATAGAAAGAAGTACAATAGGTGTCAAAAGAAAAGACCGTGAAAAATTAATAGACATCAAAAGTAAAACTAAGTTTAAGAATGCATACACAACATACAAACAGCTGAAGTGGAGGTGGACAGGGCATATGATGAGAGAAAAGCAAGAAAAGTGGACAAAACTTATCACAGAATGGTACCCTTTGGACGGAAAGAGACATAGAGGAAGACAGGCTAAGAGATGGGAGGATGACATTAAGAAAATAGCGGGTTCAACATGGACTCGCACTGCAAAAATGACAAAAGACTGAAGAGCCTTAGAGGAGGCCTTTGTCGGAAGACAAGTTGTAACCGAACTACCGTTTGCCGATAATTGATAGATAGTAAAATTGTTAGTATATTAGTTAAACTCTAGTTAATAATCAAAATGTGTTTTTTTAGTCATAAGTAAATTAATTTTAGGCACAAGAAACTACTCTGTGTAAAACTTGTTAACAACAATAAAGGCTTTTTTATTTTTTATTTATTTATTATATACAGCGAGGAAATGCTGCCAGCGTTAAAGGTACACTGCCACAGGGACCTAACTTTTCTAATTTGTTTTAATAATTATTTATTATTACTATGTAGGTTAACATAATTTATATGTTATGAATTTACATATTTTGATATTTAATATTAGCTACTAAATCTTCCTCCGTGTGTGCTTGTCTTCCGAATTAGGCCTCCTCCAGATTTTTCCACTGTAGTCTGTCCTGGGCTGTTCTTCTCCATGGCGGGCCTGCTTCTTTTTAAGATCGTCTTCCCATAGGAACAATGTTTTTCCTCGGTTTCTTTTGATACCATTCTCCAATAGTAGTTCATTTACCTGTATTATCTCTCATCGGATCGCCTGCGATCGCCATTTTAATTGTTTCACATTGTATTCTATATTTTCTAGTTTCGTCCTATTTGTTGTTATTGTCTCTGAAACTCTGATGTCACTTCGAGATAATACTCAGGTCAAAGGTATTTTAACTAAACTTTTATTTAATTAAACTAAACTAACTAAAGGAGCAGCCAAGATCGTGCGTGGAGTACTGCAGTTATCTCTCGGCCAGCCTTGCGATTCTGTAACTCACTTTTCGAACTCACACAGCGGCGGCACATAACAACTTAAGTAATAAATAATAATAAAATAAATTAAAAACAAAGATTTGTCCTCTATCAGCATAGTGCATGGTGGGCACGCACTTACATTCTCGTGGGAACAACACGCAAATATGTAGTGGAAATAACTAACATCACATACACGAATTACAAGTACGACCAGTCACCACAAGTAGCCCCCTCGCCATATTTTAGACGCATGTATGGGATACGTAGAATATAGCGGTTGATTTTGAAATTACAGATGTTAAAGTGGTTTTAAAATTTTTTATTAACTTTTTATAATTCCGTTCACAGGTCAACTGGATGATGCTACCAAAAACATGATGACCCGCGACAGATGTCAAGCGAAAGATACATCTGTTGGTATGAGAAGAAGAAGATATACAACTATTGGTAAAGTAACATTTACTTAAACGCCTTCTTTGGTATAGGGTCCTCCAATTCCCGCCATTTCTGTCTGCACTGTGCCATGTACCTGCTAAAAAAAATATCGCCAGGTGACCTATACTCACCAGCGGGCGATTCGTTTATGTAACTTTAAATACCCAAGAAAAAATAGTAGGAGAAATGATACAGAAAGAGACCCCCCTTGATGGGAGGCTGCAGTGCGACAGGAGACAAGGGCCTCGTAGCCAGAATTTGATTCGCCAGGGGGCAGGTAGTGATAGATGAAGAGATCTTTGGTCATTGTACAGGCGAGAACACGTTGGAGATTTCAGCTGCTTTATACAACTCTTTTCCCATCATCTTCGTTTACTTCTACTGGTCCTCTACTCACCCTGATCAATCCTTTTTATTCCATAGACAGGTACAAGTTAATTCGTTATAAGAAATATAAATATATTTTCAAAATTAATAAGATCAGATTCGTAAAACTTTCAAATCTTCTACTCCTAGGGTGTAAAGATAATAGAATCTTCTTTTATAAAAAAAAAATTTCAAACAGCGGCCGAATTCCTTTTTTCAACGTCAAATCATATAGTGTCATGTATAAGATTTGATGTTGTTAATTAGTTTTACTACGCAATTTATTGATATTTTTCGTTTTCGACGTATAAAAAGTGTTGTCGTTTTGATTTTCACCTAGATTGAGGTCGTGGCAGCTTATTTGTGATGTTTTCGATTTCAATGGGCTACCGTAACCCAACCGAACGTAACCGAACAAGAGAATAAAGGCAACGATGAAAAACAGACCGAACAAGGGCCCAGTACACCCAAGCTAATATTAGTAATTGAAGATGTTTATTATATAATTTTGTTTATTGTGATCTTCAAAAAGCCCATAGAAAAGCCCGTTCGCGTCTAATGTTCACTGGCGATATCGCTGATATAGACGTGTTTATTTATATAAAATGTGTCAACCAAGCCAGTGAGTTTGTCAGAAAAGGCGACTACGGCTCTCGGACAAAAAGCCATAAATACTTGTGTTGGCTTGTGGACCAAAAAATGGCGGATACGATTAAATCAGTCTAAATCAGTTCACATAAACTTTACCAACAAAATATCAAATTAACAGCCAGTATATATTGATAACGTCAAAGTGCCGTTCCAAAAGAGCTAGGTATGACGCTGGATACCAATTTCCGATGGAAGGTCCATGTTAAAAAGAAGCGTGAAGAGTTGGATCTCCGTTACACTAAATTGTACTGGTTGCTCGGAATGCATTCCGCGTTATCAGTTCAATATAAATTATTGATTTACAAACAAGTCCTGACACCTGTATGGACTAATGTGTTTTTCTTTAAGTTCACTGATTTCAATTACGTCAAACATTGACACTGTTATGGGGCCGATTCCTTATACGAATAAAAAAAATAGCAAGCCCGCCAATCACATGCTGATATGACTTAAATTATGGCTTCCAATTTGTGGATAAGTTTCGCTTAGAATTGTCAGAAGAATCCGTTCACACTTTCGAAACGTGGCTGGTCCGATATAAGAATAAATACAACGAAATGTTCACAATAAACCCACAATTCCAATTTTATTAAAAACGGCAAAGTTAAGAGGAAATCCCCGTTTAGGTAAAAAAACGTATGACAAATGGTGGGTAGTTGCAAAAAACTAGCGCGCTTCACCGCTCCTCTAGAATGATGGTTTCTTGTGGATATAGCTCGAGTGCGATCAGTGTGCTGCTCTGAAATTCCGCTGTCAGCTGAATGATAAATTGAACATTAATTGTTGTAACTAAAACTTTGCAAACTAATTTTTAACTCTTGTATGAACAAGAGTTAAAAATTAGTTTGCCAAGTTTTAGTTACAACTAATCAAACAGAAGTTAACATTTAGTATGCGTAAATGTGTGCGTGCGTATGTATTTGAGAGTAGCGGAGAGTTTTATGCGCCGTGTCTGTTTTAGGTTATGGAACCTAATTAGATGCCACACGTAGTTATTTATGCAGCTTCGCGATTTAATCGCTATTCAAAACGGAGCGTATTATAAAGTAAAGTTAATGTTCAATTTATCATTCAGCTGACAGCGGAATCTCAGAGCAGCACACTGATCGCACTCGAGCTATATCCACAAGAAACCATCGTTCTAGAGGAGTGGTCTAATTGCAACACGTTACAATAATAATTCTTAATTTGTATAAAATGCATTATGTTAATTAAAGATTTTAAGATAAATCGTTGTATTTCTTTATACCCCTTTCAACTATTAATCACCAATTAAATGGTTACGGCACTGTTTAAATTAATTACAAGAAGTGAGACTAGTTTATCAGAGCTATTTTCTTTCTACTGTATTCTTCACCAGCTTTTCTGAGTAGAACTCACTTGCCGAACCGGTGTTTAATAAAAAATTAAAGGCTTTAAAATAGGTATAATTTCCCTTAGACTGCTACTTATCTATACCTCTAAGCGACAGTCGAGCTTGATCAAGCAATATTCGAAAAAATTTGCGAGTTAGCAAGTTAACATTCAAAATACAAAAACCGAAACCCAAACGAAATTGACGGATTTTTTTAAAGTGTAAATAAGTTCTAAATAAAATAAAATATATATGTACATAATATGTTGTGCACATTATGCACATAATTTTATCATATTACACATTCGTACTTGCTGTGACTTGTTATTGCTGCGTACTGCGTATAAGAGAGAAAAGCTACCCAAGTTCCTGCATTAGCGAGAAATTCGGGTTAGTGAGAAACCTCTATAAGCGAGAATGAGATTGTGTTCCCTTGAACTCTCGCTTATCCAGGTTTGACTGTAATTTCCCTTAATTCTATTTTAATACACAAAATTTACCAAAAAAATGAAATACATATATGCATATACATACAGTTGAAAATATTTGACTAACATTACTTAACGATTCACGGAGCTGATCTCACCCTGATCAATCGTCTAGCGATACTCTTGATGAACTGCTTAATGAAACTTATTGTTATTTTACAGGAAACTGGCCAAAGAAGCATCTCACGTACAAAATAACGCAGTATTCTTCGAAAATTAGCCAGCAGGAGGTGGATTCTATAATATTCCTCGCATTTTCCGTTTGGTCCGATCCATCTGGTATTACAGTCACGAAGCGAAAAGGTGGACGCACCGATATGGAAGTCAGGTAAGATTGTCATGATTGGTGATGGGATACCTTATCATCTATATGAGGGGATATATTGGCCTGGGGAACTTACCTATTAAAAAGATGCCCTTAAAAGAAAAGCTTTAATTAATACTAGCAGGGAAACTTGAAGAAGTCGGGGAATGACAAACCCGTGAGCCAAAGCCAAGCCCCATGCGTGTGTGATTATTCGGTATGAAAACGCTATGTGGCACTCTTGTACTGGTAACAAACTTAAACCCCAAGACGTTATCTTCTCATGAGCTGGATCGACCCTGGCGCCTGAAATTCCAGGGGAATTGTCTTTTTTATTGACCACCTTGCATCAACTGGATTTAACCAGAGTGGAGTGAGTTTCATTAACCCCAACTTAGCGCGAACTATAACTCCTGTAAGCCAAAATCTACTACAATAATAATGATCAGCATACAACTTGTTTAGGTCTGCGCCTCAGATTTCTGTATCTGTTTTATGGTTTGTCATCGAATAGGCAAGTAGGTGATCAGCCTCCTGTGCCTTACACATGTCGAGCTAATGTTGAATGCGCATAATATAGACAGAAAGTCCATTGGTGCACAGGGACATCGAACCTACAGCCTCAGGGATGAGAGTCGCACGCTGTAGCCACTGCACTGCTGTAAGAAACATACTTAATATAATTTTTTATTTTACAGGTTCGATTCAATCGCACCAAGAGCAGACGCCCACATATATGGAAACACAGTAAGATTTTTATTCCATTAACATCATTTTGGGGGGCCTCATAGCCTAGCGGTCTTATTAAGTGGCAGCTAGGTGAGGGGTACCGTGTTCGATTCCCGGTTCGAGGGCAAGTTTTAATTTAATTTAAATTTGTTCTCGGCCTTTGGGAGGGTTGTGCGGTACCGGGCGAGTGCCTAAACCGCACATGGAGGGCACGGTCGATTTTCTAAAGACTAGCACGAATTATAAAAAATCCTATACTGGACGCTGGCTAATGCACTAATCGTGCCAGAGCCATTAAAAAAAAAAACATTATTTTGTACGAACAAGTGAATCTATACAGAAGGGGGTTTTTTAACTATATATTATACAATATTCTTAATCTACATAGTATAATAACAATCAAATTATATAATTAAAAATTAATAAATATAGATATAAACAAATTTAAAAAGATTGGTCCCTGTGTTCCCGAGGTAATGCTGGCAGCATTCCCTCGCTGTATTACGATACTTATTCGTTAAGAAAAGCACCAACTTCAATCTTTAATAAGCGCCTGTGCACTTGAACCCACGGCCCAAGAGTCTCTACTCAAAAGGGAACAAAATCGTAACTGGGGGAAAGACTCTTTTAGTTTATATACTTAATATAACTAGCTGACCGGGCAAACGTCGTTTTGCCATGTATATCATTTATAATAAAAAAATGAAGGTTGATCGTAGAGGGGTTAAAATTAGGGGTTGTATGTATTTTTTAATGCTGTATCATAAAAAAATAAAAATTTATCTAAAAATAAAAAAAAATTTTTAGGGGTGGACTACCCTTAACATTTAGGGGGATGAAAAATAGATGTTGTCCGATTCTCAGACATACTCAATATGCACACAAAATTTCATGAGAATCGGTCGAGCCCTTTTGAAGGAGTTTAACCACAAACACCGCGACACGAGAATTTTATACATATTAGACTAGTGGACCCCACAGACGTTGTCCTGCATGATATTTAAAGCGATTAGGATATTAAGCAAAGTATGAAAGTACCGACTGCAGTGCCATCTGCCGGGCTGATTTGTGAATCTAAACCACTCCCAGATCCCCTTGAACACACACAAAAAATTTCATCAAAATCGGTCCAGTCGTTTGAGAGAAGTTCAGTGACATACACACTCACAGAAGAATTATATATTATAAAGATATTATATTACCATGTCGTTTTTTTCATCTACTCGATAAAGCGAGAGAGGAATGTCAGGACCGTAGCAAGAGATCCGTGGTGTCTGTACCCCTTCGGGAAACAGGCGTTGAATGTATTTCAATTAAGACAAATTTTTCTAATTTACTTTTGTTGACTTACAGAACAGCCGACACAAAACAACTGTCATCACATTGAACGACGGCATCGACTGGTCTCAAGACTTCAGCACTGGTTTACCCAATTTATTCCAAGTAAGTTTGAACTGTATTCAAAAGTCAATAGAAATCACTATCGAATAACAAGATGCTTGTGTCAATAGAGAAAACAAAAAAAAACACTAAATTTTAGAATTTAGCAGTAAATTTTCAACTTTCAAGTTAATAACCTAGGAACTAACACAACGATTATAATAATAAGCCTCTTATCCTGAACTGTTTCTTTGACTTTGTGGTTGACTCTTATCTTTAAGTTATAAAATATCTCTAAGTTCAGTGTGCCTCTTGGCAAAGGCCTCCTCTAACAATTTCCATTGTACTCTGTCTCTTGCAACCCTTCTCCATTTTGAGCCTGCTGTTAATTTTAATTCGTCTTCCCATCTCTTGCTTTGTCTTCCTCAGTTCCTTTTCCCATCTCTAGGGTACCAGTCAGTTATGATGTTGCTCCACTTTTCTTGTTTATCACGTATCATGTGCCCAGTCCATCTCCACTTCAAACTATCTATTCTAGTGAGTATGTCTGTGACTTTTGTCTTACACAACGATTACTTCATAATAACTAAAATACGTACTTTCGTACGTACGGATACCGGCAAACTTCTTGAGCATTAATCAAGGGAGTGGGCGAAAGTTTGCGCAGCGCGTGACACAAACGTCAACTGATCTACCAATCACGCGATCGACACGTCACTCTGCCGCCGCCCCCCTCGCAGTGATACCTGAAAATCGCTTCTGCGCAGGCAAGGACATTTGTTCAAGATGTTTGCCGGTATCTATAACGTCTGTTAACACAACAGACGTATCATTCCAAAAAGTTAAACTGGAAATGGACTACATTGTCCGCGTTTGTAATGATGGGTCAAAAAAAGGCCGGCAACGCACTGGCGAGCCCTCTGGCATTGAGAGAGTCCATGGGCGGCGGTATGACTTAACATCAGGTGAGCCTCCTGCCCATTTGCCTCCTGTTCTATAAAAAAAAGACCCTTGGAATGGCCCAGTGAGAAAAAAAGAGAGACCAGAAACCTGGGAAGATGAAACAAAGATGCGATGAAGCGGTGAAAGATTGGAAATAGCGAAGATGATGATGATGAGACAAAGGCATTCACTCCGTCGAAGGTCATGAATTACTTTTAAACATAACATGGACCTAATGTTATCCTGGTTATGTTGTACTCGATCAAAAAAAAATAGTTGTGCTACAACCTCTTTAGGGCCTCTTTTGGCCTCAGATTTCTGAATTTATTTCATGATCATTTTTAAATGTAATAGACAAGTATGTGATCACTGATCAGCCTCCTGTGCCTGACACACGCCGTCGACTTTTTGGGTAAGACATGTCGGTTTCCTCACGATGCATTCCTTCACCGTTCGAGCGAATGTTAAATGCGCACAAAAAAGAAAGTCCATTGGTGCACAGCCGGGGATCGAACCTACGACCTCAGGTATGAGAGTCGCACGCTGAAGCCACTAGGCTAACACTGCTGTTGTACTCGAATACATGCCATTTTTATTATTTATATTACGTGTTATGTTAAAAACTTGATTTAATTAATTCTAATTACGTCTGATTCATTGACGTTATATTAACCGTCACGGTCATCATTATTGTCGGTGAGAGCAAATATGCTGGCTCGTAGGTTTGTACGTTGTTCTCATGACGTAAAAGTCACATTATTCAGAGCATATTGCACTAACTTCTACACGTGCAGCCTATGGGCCAGTTTCACTCGACAAACATACAACTCGCTTCGGGTGCAGTATAATAACGCATTTAGGGTGTTGCTGGGGTTGCCTCGCTTCTGCAGCGCATCAGGCATGTTTGCAGAGGCGCGGGTGGATTGCTTTTTCGCCACTATGCGAAAGCGGTGCGCGTCTTTGGTGCGCCGGGTGCGGGGCAGCTCCAGCAACATCTTACGGATGATAGTCGAGAGAATGGAGTGCCCCTATTTACGACACTGCTCCGACATCTCCGCAGGGCTTTGTACCTAATAGTTTTTGTTTAATTACTTTTTTCTTATTTTTACTAATTCTACTAACATATCTATTAATATATTATTATTAGATATTATATTCACATCTTAAGAAACTATTGTTACTAACTTACTAATCAATCAATGGACTGTATTTGTCTGATTAATAAAAATTATTATTATTATTATATTTTGCAAATGTTTTAATTATACTAACAAATATCTTGACAGCAGTGTTGGCCTAGTGGCTTCAGAGTGCAACTCTTATCCCTGACTTCGTTGGGTCGATCCCCGGCGCCAATGGACTTTATATTTTCGCATTTAATAACTGCTCGTACGAAGGAAAACATCGTGAGGAAACCGGCTTGCCTTAGACCCAAAAACTTGACATGTCAACAGTCACACTCGGGCATTAAAGCGAGACTAAAGATAGTACGTTACTATGTCGACGATTTTTCAATGGTAACCATGGCAACGAACGGTCGTAGACCAATTTGTATAACGTTTCTGAGTACGTTGTAAGCCTGTATACAGACACGTAAATTAATAATAACACTTTGTTTTTTTAATATGTATCTAATAAAAATTCTATAATTGCAAACTTGAGAAAAAGCGTGATGAAGTCCAATTTTGAGGTTATAAAAATAAACCAGTGGCGCTACAACCTTTTTAACTCTAGGGCTCAGATTTCTAAATCTTTTCAAGATCATTTGTCTTTTTTTATCTTATAAGCAAGTAGGCGATCAGCCTCCTGTGGCTGACACACGTCATCAACTTTTTGGGTCTAATCCGGTTTCCTTACGAAGTATTCCTTCACCATACGACTAAGTGCTAAATCGATTGGTGTACAGCCGGCGATCGAACCTGCGAATTTAGGGATGGGAGTCACACGCTGAAGCCACTAGGTCAACACTGCTCTTTTAATTAAACCATGTTACTAATTGTTTTTTTCCGCTATTTGAATTATAATTTTACACTATAGGAACTTATTAAACGACTTTAAAACAGTTTGATTTCTGAATCTAAATTTATCTATCTATTTGGTCCAAACACATTCGCAAAAATGTCTAGTTTCTAGGGGAAGTGTTAATTTCTCTTAATAACTATCTATCCTATTTTCTACGACTGGTATTTCATGTAATAATCCTGAACTTTCAGACAGCATCACACGAAGTCGGTCACGCTTTAGGATTGGGGCACACAGAGGTAGTTGGTGCCATGATGTACCCAGTATACGACCTGGGTATCAAAATATTCGGTCTGCACGACGATGACAAGCGAGGAGTAGAGGTACGTTGTGTTTCTATTTAGTGCTTAAACAAAATAATAAATCACGTGGCATTTTAATTAACAATTCGTCATTTATTAAATAAATTATTTAGCATAAAATATAAAATACTAATATTTCATTAATTCTCTTTACGAAATTGTATCCGACTTCACATCAATCCCTTGTCCAAGTCAAATTACGACATAATTACTGCCTTGCGATTCTGTAACTCACTTTTCGAACTCACACAGCGGTTTTCGCAGCGGCGGTCGCTCAAATCAGTCGTGAAGCAGTCATTTTACGATTTGGCATTCTGATAAGGAGGGATCAGGGAGCAGTTCTCTGGCTGTAGAATGATAACCAGTCCAGAGAACCAAACATTACAGGAAACGAAAAAAATGTTTCATTTCGTCAATGTTCGTTAAAATATTATTGTCTTTTTGTCCATAGTAGATGGTTAAATTTATGTTATGAATAAATAAGTCCTTACTTCATGATTATACCTGTTAATTGACATAAGAGTCTAAGAATAAGAAATAATATAAATGGTTTTTTGTCATACGAGGTTATCATTACAAACGTTGTGTAAATCAAAAACTTGCGGAGAGGTCATTGCTAGTTCTTCTCTTCCGTTCTACGCCCTTGATTTGAGAACTGGCAGTAAATGTAAAATTAGAAGCATTTAATGTATATTTCCTTTTTTTGACGTTCATAAGTGTCCATTGTGTTACCTTTGTTTGTTTTTTTTTCTACAGTGACGTGAAGCATTCCTTTACCTAAAGATGTAATTCTAACAAAATCACATAAAACTAATAAGTTTATTTTTCTCAGGATATCTATAGCAACGTCAAAACCGTGTCCTACCCCGGAAGATTTATCTACAAGAAGAACAGAAACAATATAGAGTCAACATTCAACAATTTCAAAGATCGTATAACAAACTCATTTGGACCGATGCCCGACTTCGAAAACGTCAACTTACCAACGGAGTTCTTCGAGAATGGCTTCTAATGGCCTAAATAGTTTTTATAGAATAACATTTTTTTTTGATGTTATTGGCTTTATTTTTCAATATGTCTTGTTTAATTGAAAAACATGTTAGTATACAAAATCACGAGGATGTATTTATTATAAGGAAATTATTTTGTGCACAATGTTAGTAATACTCGTTTACCTAATTTTACTTTCTTGAAATAGATTACAACAACCATAAAGATTTAAAGGGTTAATGCGACAGTTTAAAAACAAATAAAGAGTGGTAATAATATTATATCTTTGATTCACCACCGTCGTAATATTTTTGTGAAAAGAGTTCTAAAAAATTCGTCAAATTTATGTTATCGGCTTCCCTGACTTTTCTGCTTCTTTTTTCTAATACATGACTGCTTCATAGGAGTTTTCACAGGTCTTCTATCTTATCACGTTACCCAGGATGACTTCCTCGCCCTGTAGCATGTCTAGCTTATTACTTACAACTTGGAAATAAACTATGAAAAAACAAAAGTAATGACATTCCACCCCTGTCATTAAACACCGATTGACATAAAGTTTACATTTAATTTATTATATAATTAAATGTTTCATATAAACCACTCTATCTATTGTTGAAATCGTATCAAAATCCGTTTGGTCGTTTTTGAGTAAATGCCGTTTATATAGACGCTGAAGATTTTTGCCTCCTCTTCAACTTTAGCTTTAGCTTTTCAGCTTATATTTCTGTCAAGTTTTATAAAACCATAAAGAATTATAAATTCTTATAAATCACACTATCTATTGGTGACATTAGTGTCAAAATCCATTTTGTAGTTTTTGGGTAAACGCCGTTTATATACGCATAAAGATTTTTTGCAACCTCTTTAACGGCTTATATTTCAGTCAATTAACGTCAAACCATTATGAATTATACATTTAAACGTTCCTTATTTGTGTCAAAATCCATACAGCTGTTTTTGAGTAAATGCCTCTTATATAGACGCTGAAGATTTTTGCTTCCTCTTCTTTTTTTTTCTTTTTATATCTAAATAAAGCATAAAACCATTTCTCAACGGTTGATTTAACTGGTGCAGAGTCAGTTGTCAAATTTATACACGTATTTTGAAGGTTAGGGATAACTAAAAATAATATGTATTTGTTTAATACTTGTAGCGCCATCTATGTGTTAGCGTACGAACTTTTCAGCCCACCTATTATAACATAAATAGAAAAGTAACTCTTATGTTATAACCAAACTTCTTCGAAACGAATTGACCGCTTTTTAAGAAAATTTTTGTTTTTTCGGTTGAAAGCTTTTATATATATAAAAGCTACGTAATAAGGACAAACCCAACCTTTTTTGAAAAAAAAATTCAGTTATGAATAATACATAAGTTATTAATTTTCGCCGTTTTCCGTGTCAGCTAGTAGGTATGAATATTCTATTTTAATTTTACTGGAGAAATAAGTTGTCCAACATAAAAATAATTTTTACCAGTTCAAAATGACACTTTTATCAAAATTAAACGAAATAGAATCGATTTGTCACTCAAATAAAAAAACTATTTAATATAAATTTATTATAAATTACACATTACTTGTTCCCAGTACAATTTTACTATTGACTAACGATATTCATTATACAAGATAAATATTGGTAATACTGCGCTAACACATTTCATGTCACTTCTAATTTAAATACATAAAATTATTTCAACATTATAGGTCAATTGACAATTCCAAAAAGTTTGTACCACCTATAAGTTTTCACAACTATTGTTTATGTAGAATTTATGTAGTCTGTGGCAAATTACTGTTTTACTTATCTGTGGCGTCGACCGTTTCGCGCGCTTTTATTTATTAAATACTACTTTAAGGGGCCTCATAGCCTAGCGGTCTTATTAAGTGGCAGCTAGGTGGGTACCGGGTTCGATTCCCGGTTCGAGGGCAAGTTATAATTTAATTTAAATTTGTTCTCGGCCTTTAGGAGGGTTGTGCGGTACCGGGCGAGTGCCTAAGCCGTACATGGAGGACATGGTCGAATTTCTAAAAAGAAGCACGAATTATAAAAAATCCTATATAGTCCAGTCAAATTATGGCTAAAAACGGGTTAAATAAACATGAGCGAACACAGTTTGGGGATTTTGAGGATCGATAGGGGGGTGTATTCTGAGCATAAATTCCAATTTGAGGGGTTGTACTGAGGTCAGCTCAAGGTCATTTCGATGGAAACGCGTTTAATTCGATATCTCGAGAATGGTTAGTGTTAGGCGAAAAATTGTAGAGACCTTTTCTTTTCCTAACTAAATTTACTAACTTTTTTATCTGAAACTTTTTTTATAACATTAATATTTTTCAAGTTATTACTCCCGCAAGGCAAAAATTTTACATTTTTTTCCATTTTTCGTCGTTTTCTCCCCAACCATTCAATTTTATTAAATTTTACCGATCAAAGAAGTGTAGATCTTCTAATTATGAACAATTTTGATCTTGAGCTTTTTTCCGTAATGCCAATACCTTCGGAGTTATAGATTACTTTACCGAGCGAAATCAATTTAGATTAAGGAAAGAGAGGGTGCAGACAGGTGTGGCGGGATATGGAGGAGGCCTTTGCCAAAACGGGGCACACATACATACACATAAAAAAGACATATACAGAAATTATAAATGTGTTTAAGTGTAAAAGTATCTGAAATAAAAGGCTATATTGACGTGACAACGTCTTATAAATCGATGAACGCCGGCTTCACGCCCGGAAAAGCATGACTCATTGTCCCGTTACGCTCAAGTACTTGAAGACTTAAGTACAAACTTAACACACTACATTTACAACTTACATGTTTTTTTATGACGTTGTCACGATAAACTATCGTCCGTAAACCGACTTCACAAACATTTTTCATTAAGAAATTAAAAACGTGCTTACACAGACTATCATCGACGTGTCATTTGTCAAGTATCGTCAGCCAACTGTCAAATGTTGACATAACGCAAAATGCTGGGCCAGCTTAAGTTTAATAAAAATAAATCTATTATATATATAGTTTAGCAAAATTTTACTTAAGTTAATACAAAACTAAATATTTGACTAGATTTTTGTATGCTTACATTTTATTTTTTGGCAATTTATTACACACATTTTATTTATGAAATAAATTATTTATAAATTAAAAACGTGCTTATTGAAAACGTGTGGCACTCGGGGACTGCCGCGGTTAAGCTATTGCATAGCATTTTTATCAACTTTTTTTTCTTTGATATTAATTTTACCACTCTACCAGACTCAGACTAACACGCCTATATAGTCTGTCTCACTCTAACGCGTACCGGCTGCACCGGCCGCGCTTACGCTACGTCACCAATCACGCCAGACCGATGTGAGACGCAGTATGCGTTCTGTCCCGCTCTAACGCGTATTGGCAGCACCTATATTACATCATCGTGTGTTAGGTTTATTTTCGTTACGGAATTTCTTGATTAGGTCGCCGCACTCAAAGCCCGCGATAAAATCTATGCAATAGCTTAACAACTACACAATCTTTCCTTTATACATTTACGAATATAATTCAATACATTTTTTTCTTTTCTTACAGTGGTTGCCTGGAAGAGATCGCTCGAAAGCGATAAGGCCGCCAGTTGCCCTCCTTTACATTTAATTATGTTAAATTTTTATAATGTAATGCAACAAAGTGTATATAAATAAATATAACACTTTTTTATGATGTTTGACTTCATGAATAATCAGCTTCCTATATCAAAAAATAGATTTACATATCAACAACTTGAAACCCGATGAAGGCATATATCAATGCCATGGCACACATTTCCACTAAAACAGGCAAAGCCGTGTGCAGCCCTTGTCAGCGATACTCTCGTTCGTTCCTTCGTGAATCGCGCCACAGCGTCGAATAATGTATTAGCGGAAGTAATGCACCGCCTAATAACAGAGCCCCAAACGTCGCCTTGTGAAATAACCTACAAAAAAGGTGAATTGGCTAGTTTAAAAACATATGTAAACCATACTAGAAAGCGCTAAGTATGACTTAGACATGTCAAAAATATGTTATGACATTAAATTTGAAACTATAAAAAGCACATAATTTTTTGGCAAGTAATATGTCAAGTCAATGACAAATTGACATATCTAAGTCATACTTAACGTTATCTGAATGTTAGTCGGAAATATTTTATGCCCTAAAAAGATAGTATAGATATCTAAGGGTGATATTACAGTTGAAGGCGCTAAGTATGACTTCGGTATGTCAAATCCAATACATCTTTGACGCAAGTCATACTTAGTTGTCACTTAATGTAACATTAAGTGTACCGAAGTCATACTTAGCGCTTTATTTCAGCTATATTAAGTGACTTAACTAAGTATGACTTGCGTCAAAGATATTATGGATTTGACATACCGAAGTTATATTTAGCGACTTCAACTATAATATCACTGTTAGAAATTTCCCATCCTTTAAAGTTGTTGAAATATTTGCCAAAAATGACAAGTCAGAATAAAAACTTAATGAGTGCACAAAATTGTTGTGTTTTCACTAATATCTATGGAACTATATGACATGGTAACTCTATGGTACTCACGTACGTCAAAATATTATAAAAATGATGTGTTTATTGTGTAGAAGCATTTAACATTCGCTCGAACGGTGCAGGAATACATCGTGGAGAAACCGGCTTGCTTTAGACCCAAAAAGACGATGGCGTGGGTCAGGCACAGGAGGCTGATCACCAACTTGATTATTAGATTAACAAATGATCATGAAAGAGACACAGAATCTGAGAATCTGAGGCCCAGAGCTAAAAAAGTTGCAGAGCCACAGATTTATTTAATAAAACTATAAATACTCACCAAGGCAATGATATCACGAAAAGTGTGTATGAGAAGGAGAAAACAAAATTGACCCACAGCCGGGTACAGCGTCGCAAGTTACTTGAGACCAACTTACATTGGAGAACTGAAATAAGAGCAATTTAAGTAATTTAAGTAATATTTATCCTATTATAAACGCGAAAGTTTGTAAGTATGGATGGATGTTTGTTACTCTAATTCACTTAAAAACTACTGAATGGATTTTAATGAAACCTTAGAATAATTGCATCAGAATAAAAAGTTTGTTTTGCATATTATTTCTAGGAAACATTTTTTTAGTTCAATAAAAATAATTATTTACAATAATAAAAAATAGGGGCTGATCGTAGAGGGGTGAAAATTAGGGGTTGTATGTTTTTTGTATGTTGTATCATAAAAACAAAAAAAATTGCGGTGGACATCCCTTATAACATAGGGGTTTGAAAGATAGACAGTAGCCGATTCTCAGACTTACTGAATATGCATAACAAATTTCATAAGAATCGGTCGAGCCGTTTCGGAGGAGAAGGAACGAACATTGTGACACGAGAATTTTATATATATAGGGATTGTGTGAATTGTCCAAAATATCAAGCAGAAAAAAATCTACCATCTCCGAGCTATTCTGGCATGCGCTGCCAAAACCGCTAGAGTTACACATATGTAATGTATGATGGAAATGTTTATCTTAAAAAATCCTACAAAAAAGCCCTCCACAGTATATAGCTATATCTTATGTGTAAGCCATTACAGCCAAAATAGTGAAGCATAACTACAATAAAAAATTATAATTTATTTCAAATACACATTTGGTGGTAATAAATTGGTTCCTAAACGAAAATAAGATACTTTTATCGCTTCTGGTATTTAAAGCAGATAAAATATGTCTTTCACGCTACATTTGGACAAATATTATTTCAATCCTGCATAGACGAAGTCGCGGGAAACAGCTAGGTTATGTATAAAAGCTTTCCAACGCTCGGACCACTGATACAATGGTACAAGAATAAAATACAATATTTAATTTGACAAGTCCATAAAGGCAAACAAACACGAAGAGAAAATACACCCATTCATAAATAATAAAAACGTGTGTAACGCTAAGTAAGACTGCTCTAGAGCGGTCGCGTTGAAGTCGTACACGACTGCAACACGACCGCATAATGCAGTCGGCTACGACTGCTTGGAGCAGTTGTTTTCGACCGCAAAATAATACTGATGCGAGTTCATTTACAAGATGGAATTCGATGAAGAAACACTACTAGTTGTACTATTATTATGCAATCGTAGGCATAGAAGACACCGTAGTATGTGGGTGCGTCCAATACTACAATCAGCAAACAGACAACAGCATGGAATATTTCTTACTTTGTATCCCCAGCTGAGAGAAGACACTAAAATGTTTTTCAACTACTTTAGAATGTCCGTGATTTCATTTGATGAATTAGTTAGTATTTTATTTTATTTGCCAATTCTCAAATTCTTTTACACAACAAGCCTTCACTGCGCGTCCTTCTAATTGACTTAAAATATATTTGAGTAAAATGTCCTGTTGGTTCTGAGTAGCAAGTTCTACCGCATTTCTAAAATTATTTAAAAATGCACTTAATTTTTCGTGGTTACCATCAAATTTATTTATGAATTTAATTAGTATCTTTAAATCAACGTCTGTGGCTGACCTATTCTTAGATTCACGTACAATAATATCTTCCTTATGCATTGTCACGCAGGATATGGCTTAGACAAAACAATACTGATAACGACGCGACGGCTAGCGTTACTGAGAACCGATTAGGCGCTGCACTGATTTCTAATTGGTATTGTAACCAAAACCAACCAAAGATGAGATTGTAATTTTATAAAACAACCTTTCTATTTATAGCACTTTAAACTTCACTGATTGTTTTCACACAACACACTGAAATACGAATATATAAATAAATAAAATAAAAAATAAAAAGCTTTTTATTTCATGCTAAAAGATATACAAAATAACATAGGTTTACTAAAAAGAAAAAAAGAGAAATTAAAATAAAAAGTTAAAAATATACATTAGTGTGCATGATTAGATAGGTACTTTATTAATTTCTTTTCTTCAGGTGCTTTTATATTTATGGGTGCAAAACCCCTCTCAGTGGAGGGTAAAGGCCTCCTCCAAAGGTGACCATTTTTCCCTGTCTTCGGCTACTCGCATCCAGTGCGTGCCGGCTATCTTTATAACGTCGTCTGTCCAGCGTGCATTTGGCCTGCCTTTGGTATTTGAAAAGAGCGTTTCCTTTGGTTATGGACTCGATCTTCCACGATGACCAACCGGATTGGAAGATGTTGTTTGGTACTGTTCGTTTCTAATATGTTTTCCGTGAGAGAGGGCGGTAATTGCTATTGTTTATTAATTTCATTTGTTTGATCGTTTGGTTGATTGTTGTGGTTTTCATAGTTAAGAATCCGAGTATTCCTGGTTAAATAACTCCCTCTGATAGGCTCGACGATCTTTGTAAACCTGATTGGGTTTGAGTTTTGTTCTTTTTATGTGCTTATTGTTTTGGCTCTGAATGCGGAAGATCCCCGTAGTTTGGTGATGTTGATAGAGTTATTTTCTTGTTGCCTATTGTTTCATTTTTCGAGTGTATTATCAGTTTATCGTACTTAATAGAGGCGGAGTTCCCTTTTTCTTTTTCAATTTTTAGCTGTTCTTGCAGTTCCCTTCTTTTAGCTAAAATATGCTGTGGGAAGTCCTCTTTTATGTAGTAAGTCGTGTCTTTTAATACTCTCCTTTGTTTAAAGATTTCTATTTTCGTTGCCAATGAAGTGAATGTAATTGATACAGGTCGGGGTTTTTCTCCTTTCTTTCCTATTCTCCTGGTTTCTTGAATGTCTCTGCGTTCTCGATCTGCAGAGAAATATTGATTCATGAAACTTGGTATGTGTTTTTCCAAGTCTGCATATGATGTTTCATTTTCCGCCAGTCCAAAAATTACGATATTCCTCTGCTTTGACTGTTTTTCCAGAAAATATAGTATTTTTTCTTGATTATCCAGCTTCTCTTTGAGGTTTTCGTATTTTATATCTAATGCACTAAAATTTTCCTCCAATGTGTAGTTTATATTTTTCGTGACTTGTTCCGTAACTTTATCTGCTGACTGTACAATTGTCGTTTTTTGTTCGTTCAGCTCGTTTTGAATTTTTCTTAACATATTCATAACTTCCTCCATGGTTTATCAGTTATTTGATACTGTGTTGAAGTGCCGTAGTTATTTTTATCTTTTATTGCGATACTTGTTCCGCCCTCTTGTGGTATTCGGTTCGCCGCTAGGTGGCGATAGTTGTTCTGTTTGATAATGTAGCTAATCGTCACTAGATGGCGTCAGTTGGCGAAAATATCCATATTTCTATGAATAATGACTCATCTAGAATTTTTCTTTTAGGTTATTTTTCTTGTTGGATCGCTGTTTTTCGTATTTTAAGCAATGTTCACTAAGTTCTTGCACTAGGCGAATTACGTAATGCACTGTGTAGTGTCTTTGTTTTGTTTTTTGTTTGATTTGTCAGTCTTTTCTCACTAATTGTTGTTCACCTTAATACTTAGGTTTTCTTAAGTCACTCGGTATTCACTTTGTTCTTAATATTGTTTTGGCTAATTATACTTTATGGATTTAAACACTTTTTGATCACTTTTTGCACTTTGAATATGTGTTTTTAGCTTTTTATTTGCGGACAAGAAGTACTCCGTGGCTCTGTGGCGCCCTCCCTCTATTATAATATATAGGATTTTTTTTTGAAGACTTACAGGGATGCTGCAGTTTACCAATGAACATCTTTGATGTATGGGGCGGAGACGGCGGATGTTTCTTTACAGGATAACTGCTTTCCCTTCAGGCTCTTCTTTACAAGACAATTTCAGAATTCACAGCGAATAGGAAAATCTAGTTATTCACAGAAATATTCACTTTTGTAATCATTCGTTAGTCGCGACTGCCAAACTGAGGCGTAACGAGGATTTTTAAAAATCCCTTGAGCTGCCACAAATGTTATACCACGTCCCGGATTTAGAATTTAAAAAAAAAAGAATTTATTTGACACAAAGGATTTATTTAGAAATATAGATTTAGAAAGGCAACTGCTAGGGGCCTCATAGCCTAGCGGTCTTATTAAGTGGCAGCTAGGTGAGGGGTACCGGGTTCGATTCCCGGTTCGAGGGCAAGGGCCTTTGGGAGGGTTGTGCGGTACCGGGCGAGTGCTTAAACCGTACATTGAGGAACACGGTCGAATTTCTAAAGACAAGCACGAATTGTAAAAAAATCCTATATACTTGACGCTGGCTAATGCACAAATCGTGCCAGAGCCAAAAAAAAAAAAATGGCAACTGCTTCGTAAAATGGGACTGACTTTAAGCTGAAAGATAATGCTCATGGCAGTTGAATAGGAGAATGCAAGCTTGCTAAAATAAAGCTTGACATAGGGTTGTTTCTAAGGTTTTAAATATATAACAGTGCGTACAAAGTACACAGTGCAGAAGTTAAACTTCTTTGTATATTAATTATTACTAAGGTAAAAGCCCCAATAGGTGATCATGCACCAGTATATGATCACTCGATGTATTTGTATATCTATTCACACTGTTTACAAACTGAATACGTGCCAATGATAATATAAATAAATAAATAATCTGCGTTTACTGCACAAGACGTTATTCGACAGAATTGCAATCTAAAGTTCTAATATGTAACTTCTAAACGAATACATCAACCAATAGCGTGTATTTTTTCTCGATCTCCCTTTCTCACTCACTCAATCTTTCTCTCTTTAGCTCTCTCCCACCTCTCGCTCCACTGCACTGTGCGTGATGCAACGTTCGCTCTATCTCACTCTCTCTCTCAATCTTTCTCACTTGCTTGCTCCCACCTCTCGCTACACGGCACTGTGCGTGATACGACGTTCGCTCTATCTCACTCTCTCTCTCAATCTTTCTCACTTGCTTGCTCCCACCTCTCGCTACACGGCACTGTGCGTGATACGACGTTCGCTCTATCTCACTCTCTCTCTCAATCTTTCTCACTTGCTTGCTCCCACCTCTCGCTACACGGCACTGTGCGTGATGCAACGTTCGCTCTATCTCACTCTCTCTCTCAATCTTTCTTACTTGCTTGCTCCCACCTCTCGCTACACGGCACTGTGCGTGATGCAACGTTCGCTCTATCTCACTCTCTCTCTCAATCTTTCTTACTTGCTTGCTCCCACCTCTCGCTACACGGCACTGTGCGTGATGCAACGTTCGCTCTATCTCACTCTCTCTCTCAATCTTTCTCACTTGCTTGCTCCCACCTCTCGCTACACGGCACTGTGCGTGATACGACGTTCGCTCTATCTCACTCTCTCTCTCAATCTTTCTCACTTGCTTGCTCCCACCTCTCGCTACACGGCACTGTGCGTGATACGACGTTCGCTCTATCTCACTCTCTCTCTCAATCTTTCTCACTTGCTTGCTCCCACCTCTCGCTACACGGCACTGTGCGTGATGCAACGTTCGCTCTATCTCACTCTCTTTCTCACTTGCTTGCTCCCACCTCTCGCTACACGGCACTGTGCGTGATGCAACGTTCGCTCTATCTCACTCTCTCTCTCAATCTTTCTTACTTGCTTGCTCCCACCTCTCGCTACACGGCACTGTGCGTGATGCAACGTTCGCTCTATCTCACTCTCTCTCTCAATCTTTCTCACTTGCTTGCTCCCACCTCTCGCTCCACTGCACTGTGCGTGATGCACCGTTCGCTCTATCTCACTCTCTCTCTCAATCTTTCTCACTTGCTTGCTCCCACCTCTCGCTACACGGCACTGTGCGTGATACGACGTTCGCTCTATCTCACTCTCTCTCTCAATCTTTCTCACTTGCTTGCTCCCACCTCTCGCTACACGGCACTGTGCGTGATACGACGTTCGCTCTATCTCACTCTCTCTCTCAATCTTTCTCACTTGCTTGCTCCCACCTCTCGCTACACGGCACTGTGCGTGATGCAACGTTCGCTCTATCTCACTCTCTCTCTCAATCTTTCTCACTTGCTTGCTCCCACCTCTCGCTACACGGCACTGTGCGTGATGCAACGTTCGCTCTATCTCACTCTCTCTCTCAATCTTTCTCACTTGCTTGCTCCCACCTCTCGCTACACGGCACTGTGCGTGATACGACGTTCGCTCTATCTCACTCTCTCTCTCGATCTTTCTCACTCGCTTGCTCCCTACTCTCGCTCCATGGCTATTTGCTTCATGCTACGTTCGCACTTTCACTCTCTCTCAATCGGTCTCAATCGCTCTCTCCCTTTTCTTCGAAAACGCTGCACATCTTCGTGACGCTAATATTATTCAATACTTCAAAAATATACTTACATAGAGTCATCCATTCCGGATGCAGGGTCATAGCTGAAGCGAACACCTGTATGAATCCCAATATTCTATACTTCCATGTGTGTGTGTTCGCATCTTTTTTCTCAAGACCATAGAGCTGCTTTAAACTGTATGAGCCCTTTCGTAATAACGAAATGGGATCCGCGTAGGGAAAGTTCGTTGGACTGTATGGTTGGAGAGTACCACTCTCTACCACTCCCACAGCTGTGTACTGAAACATAGTTTTTTTAAATGTATTGGTGTACTGTACATAGCTGAGTCATCTATAGACTACTTTAAGTCTACATCTATACTCAAATAGTCTATAGACAATTATGTCACTTTTATATTTATATTCGTATATATTTTTTTTACTATTGTTATTTTGTGTGTTTCTATGCGTGTGCTTTGTTAGGTATAAATTTTATGTCTATCTATGTCATACACTTGTCTATGAAGCAAACGTCGCATAATTGTCTATGACGCAAACGTCATAGACTTGTCTATGAAGAAAACGTCATAAACTTGTCTATGAAAAAAACGTCATAAACTTGTCTATGAAGCAAATGTCATATTATTGTCTATGATGCAAACGTCATAAACTTGTCTATGAAGCAAACGTGATAAACTTGTCTATGAAGCAAATGTCACATTATTGTCTATGAAGCAAACGTCATATAATTGTCGATGACGCAAACGTCATACACCTGTCTATGAAGCAAACGTCACATACTTATCTGTGGAGCGTTATATGTCAGAGCAATAACGTTACTGTCAGCTGTCATTTATACTTACAATATCGTCCTCCCGTCCCGCGTAGGAGAAGTGAATTCGTAAATCACCAATTTCATGATCCAATGCGCTATTCCCATGATAATAAAATCCCGAATGGAGTTTTATATCACTTCTTTCCGGCCTCGAATCCGACCAAATCTCATAATAATCATTTACTTTTCTTTTCACATCTCCACCTGGAACAATAATTGCAGCAGTGTTAGTCTAGTGGCTTCAGCATGTACCTCTCCTCCTTGAGGTCGAGATCAGTGCACCAATTGACTTTCTATGTGCGCCTTTAACATTCAATCGAACGGAAATTATCGTGAGGAAACCGGCTTGCCTTAGACCCAAAAAGTCGACATGAGTCAGGCACAGGAGGCTGATCACCTACTAGCTTAGGTTGACAAATGATCATTAAACAGAAATCTAAATTGAAATACAAGCAAGTACGAGGGTATCTCTGATGCTGAAGTATTAAGTCACGCGATTTTTGGATATTATTGACACCCCCCCCATGTAACGCGCCGTAACGTTTTTCTGTACCCAAGTATGGGGGCGTCCATAAATTACGTGAGATGTTTAAGGGGGGGGGAGGTCTTCCAGTCAACAACAAAAGAGAGGGGGGGTTACGGCAAATATTACGTAATTTTTTTTCTGATTGAAAAAAAAATAGGAAAACGGTTGACCCAAAAGGCCATCTCTGCAACTTCCCGCTAACTCCATACCTAAACGCTCAGCATTTCACTTATTTTGTTTTAGTCGTAAATAAAAGCACGAAGCATTTTTTTTTTCTTTTTACAATAACAATCCAACGCGTTTACGTAAGAAACCCACATTTTGAAAAATCTCACGTGAGATTGGGGGATGGGGTTGAATAAAATCTCACGACATCTCACCAGGGGGAGGGAGTCACAGAAAATTAAAAAAAACACCTCACGTAATTTATGGACGCCCCCTATAGTAAAACGTTTCGTGACCACCTAGAGACTCTTTATACATAAAAGTTACCATCATGTAGTGTAAAGTACTGGAAAGTCCAAAATAATATTAACAAGACCGCGTAATTCAATCCCCGCCGTTTTTAACGTTTTACAAAAGGACGACTGCAGCACCATCCATCAGCGCCGGGCAGATTTGTGAATTTAAACCATCCAGGACTTCCACCCAAACGCATCAAAACAACTCACTCAAATCGGTCCAACCGTTTAAGAGGAGTTCAGTGGCATACACACGTACAGTAGAATTATATATATGTAAGCTTAAAATATAGGATATATTTTAAGTTTGATCAAACTGCACACGGTGTGCAAATTTGACTGAAATCGGTTAAGTAGTTTAGGAATCCATAGCAAACAAACAACGTGACGCGTAATTTACATTAGGTCCTTACATATGAAATTGGCGTTTTGTATGGGAGGAACAAAAAGTCGAATATTTTTAAATATAATATATTTAATTAATAATAATAATAATAATAATCTTTATTGACATATTTGTAATTACAGAAATCCTATGAAGACTCTGACACCTAAACTAGGCTTTAGTGCCTGTATCTCAGGAGTCAGTGGCTTCTCCCAATATAATTCGTAACAAGTGTCAAGAGAGCTTATTCAAAATTTTACAAGACAATACTTTTTATAGACATTTGTAAATTCCAGATATTACATCTAATTATCTTCTTACACATAATATACTTAAACAAAAATAACATATATTGAAAAAAATGTTTCAGTATAAATTACAATGAATATAATAGGTAATAAAATAGGTACATACACATAAAATACTAAAATACATAAATATACATAATACATAAATATACATAATTATACATTTTACATATGGGTATATGTAACACTAGTATAAATATATAAATTATACACATAATTAATGAATCAAAATAACTAAAACATTATTGTAGCATGTTAGTTAAATAGATCTTCTGTTTCCTCATAATTTAAGGACAAAAGCCAAGTCTTAACAATTGATTTGCAGTCATGTAGTGAAAGAGGGTAGAAATTTAATTTTTTGTTTATTTTATTATATAGAAAGACTGAGAGATATGCTCGTTGTCGCCTTGCGAAGGTAGTACGGAATTTTGCTGTGGGGAGTACATTTGGTATACAGCGTTTGTTACTGCAAACCTCTGGGTTATAAGGGGTATGGACATGTTGTTTGGCTATTATATTAAAGACGAATAACTGTCTAACACTGAGGAGCTCACACTGTTTATATAAAAGTGTGGTTGAAAATCTGAAGGGTTTGAAAGTCATTACTTTTAGTAAAGATCTGTGGGCTCTTTCAAGCTGAATTAGATGTGACTTGCACGCTCCACCCCACACGCTCACGCAGTATCCAATAACCGATTTTACTAAGGCAAAGTAAACAGTGCGGAGTAGTTCAAATTCCGCGGCATAACGTAATTTTTTGAATGTCCAGATTAGTTTTCGCGTGCGTGCCGTTATAATCTCAATGTGAGGTAGCCAACTCAATTTATTATCTAATTCGATACCGAGGTATTTAATGGTATTGGATTTTGTTATATTAATGCAAGTACAATTTCGCTCAGAGACACATATGTGTATTTTAAGATTAATATCAGTCATATGGGAATTAATAGTTTGGAACTGAATATACGAAGTTTTAGAAATATTTAAAGTAAGTAAATTTTCCCTGAGCCATCTAGCCACCTTCTGCAGTCCGCTTTCGGCAATATTTTGTATCTCGGTCCAGGTGTCCCCATAAAAAACTATAGCCGTATCATCGGCATAGGTAAACAACCTGCAACTAGTTAGGGACAAATTACATAGGTCGTTTATGTAAATAAGAAAAAGACTTGGACCAAGAATACTGCCCTGCGGAACTCCAAAAGTTACATTTGCGTCGGAACTAATATAATTATTAATCTTAACCCTTTGCACCCGACCACTAAGGAAATCTTTAAAAATAAGCAGGGCTGAGTCTCTTATTCCAATTCGCTCCAATTTGTCCACAAGTATAGGTATTGAGACGGTATCAAATGCCTTGGCAAGATCGAGGAAGACACCAAGGCACTTTTTTTTCCTGTCAAGTTTTCCTGTGACAAACTCAATCAAGCTACCCACAGCGTCTTCTGTTGACATACCCATTCTGAAACCAAATTGTGAGCTGGACAGAATATTGTACCGATTTAAAAACTGTATTAACCTCACGTTAAGCATCTTTTCTAGGATTTTTGATAGTGCTGTAAGCACAGAAATCGGTCTGTAGTTTGCAACACAATCCCGTGCCCCACCCTTGTGAACAGGAGTAATGAGAGACCTTTTAAAGACTTTTGGAAAGCAGCCTTCCCTAAAACATGTTTGAAACAAGATAGTAAGCGGCGATACAATGACATGTCTTACCATTTTTAGAAATCGAGCTGGTATAGAGTCCCAACCAGTGGCACAATCATTTTTTGAGCTTAAGATGAGAGATTCCACCTCAGCCTCATCTGGTGGCATTAGTACGAAGGAGTTAGTCAAGCAATTAGATCTTGTACATTTGTAGTTATACTTACACCCTGTAAGTTTTTCAGCTAGCTCTCTACCAACATTAGAAAAATAACTATTTATGTCCTCAACCGCATCCAATGCGTTACAATTCCTAATTAACTCATCGGCAGAAGATTTTTTACTTGAACTATCGGTGACATATTTTATTGCAGCCCAGGTTTCTTTATTTGATTTTGCACTTTTTAATAAGAATTTATCGTGTTCGCGCTTCAATTTTCTAAGTAATGAGCAACAAAAATTCCTGTACCTTTTATAGGTTATTTTAAGAATTTCATTTTGGGGGTCCCTTTTTAAATTAAGATGCAGTTTATCCCGGTGACGGATACAGCGAAGTAGGCCCGGAGTCATCCAGGGCTTAAGAGATTTTTTGCGCCTGGGTACACTGACTTTTCAGTGTTAGCTTTAATAGCAGATGACAGAATTTCAACAAATCGAGTCGCAGCAGACTCGGCGTCTTGCTTGTTAGTCATAAAAGTAAAATCAGCCAATTCAACATATTTTATAGCTTCACTAAAATTTACTCTTTCAACAATGGAAGGGCACTGAGTATTAGTCCGTTTACTGTTAAGGGATAGATTTATTAGAATAGAGTCGTGATCAGTTACGGTGGAATTTATAACTATAACACTAGTTTGTAAAACAGTTTTAACCATTACATGATCGAGACAATTGCTTAATCGTGTTGGATATGTGTGGCCTGGCAGAAAACCCAATTCGCTGGTTAAATTTAAGTAAGAGTTACTGTTTCTGTCACCGTTTCCAGGTTTTATATCGATATTTATATCACCTATTAAAAATATATTCTTAGATGATATAGATTTAACAATATCATTCAAAGCATTCAAAAAGCGCTCAGTGTAGTAAAAGGATGGTGATCTATAAATAGCTAAAAGTACAATATCTGGTACTATTTTAGCTAGCAGAAAGTTAGCATCTTTAGGATTAGGTTCTTCAATTTCGCAATTTATATTTTGTTTAGCATAAATTATAATACCGTCATTTTGATTTAAGCATTTTTTTGTGAAATAAGAATTATAATCCTTGAGACTGGGTATGGGTTTATTATCGTTTAACCAGCATTCAGTTAAAATTATTATATCTGGCTCAAAGTACAGACGAGCTATATGGGCCAAGAATGCATCAATATTTTTGTAAACGCTACGGATATTTTGTGTTATAATTTTTAGGGAGTTTCCTGATTTTTTTTACTAAATCATTACAATTTTTTATATCACAACTGTAGGCAGTTGCCACTGTTATATTATCAATATCATTATTTATATTATCAATAAATCTAGCCATTTGTAAAATATTAAGCTTTTTGTCGCAGCTACTCGTGTCTGAGAAATGCTGACATTTTTACAAAGATAAGATCTCGATTTCAACATGATCACTAGACTAAGAATGTATAATTTTTTAGTTATGTAAAATACAATACAATGAACAGAGTATAAGTATGTATATAAAGAAAAACAATAATATAATATATAAAAAAATAAAATAATATCTATAAAAACAATAATTAAGTGCCGGATTTTCACAAACAGGAAAGTTATCGTAGGCCGGCGGAGTTTCCTGGGGGCCTCAAAAGTCATTGTTTTAGACGAAGTTTATTTAAATCACCCTCACTATCAATTCTAATATGCCGTTTACCTTCATCTTGTCTCAGGTAGGTTCTTCCAAATGAGGTCCAGCAGAATTTATATCCATTTTCCTGAGCAAATGCACGAGCCAGATAATTTAATCGTTTTCCGCAGGGTGATAGACATTCTGAAATAAAAAATGGCTTTGCTGGTCCTTCCAAACTTAAGTGTGCCGTGTTCAATTTGTTAGCAGAATTCATTTTGTTAAATTTGCGTGCCTTTTCAATAATACCATCTTTCAATATAACGCTGCCCAATTCCACAATAATTGCTCCATGTCCAGTTTTACTTTTTGTACGATAAATATCCTTAATATCCTGTTTCTGTATGGGAAAATCAATAACATCTGCAGCTTTTGAAGCAATGTTACATAAACTATCCTTATTTTCACCGGTAATCTTAGGAATATTTCTTAGTTCAAGTTTAGTTGAGGCAGACGTTCGTTCCAGCGACTCGATTTTCTTTTCAAGCTGATCAATATACAGACGATCTTCATTCCTCTGTTTTTCCAATTTCTCGTATTTAGCTTTCATATCTTCGTACTGCTTAGAGACAAAAGCAATGGAGTCTTTTATTTCTGTATTTTGTGTCAAGATTTCTCTCATGGAGGATTGCAAGGAGGTGAATTTACTTTCATTTTGAGAGTTTGCTTTAGCAAGCATATCCTTAATTTCGGTTATGAATTTTTTAATATAGGACTCATCCTGCTTGCGCCTCATAGTTACATTGCTTCGCTCCTCATTAGATAAATCTGGCGCGGGGCCCGAAAAAGAAGCTTTCGGCGCGTTCAACCTAGCTTCCTTTAAGTCTTCGGGAGTGGGGGTGCTGGGAGGTGTGCGCTTAAGAGGCATATTTCTGACAAAAGATGACACCAGAGTACACGAAAAAAATAAACTTGGACCAGCCCCCTATAAATTTCCGCTACCCGCTATCGCTTATGAATTACGGCAACTTACAAAGCTTGCGTATCAATGATGCGCGCAGACGGAGCGTACAACTTAAGCTGTCTCACAAGTGTTGTCCCGTTCGCACAGATGCACTTACTGCAACGCAACTCATGCGCTCCTGGTACACACCTTAATTTATTCGCACGGAATTTATTTTTAATTTGATTTTTAAGTTATAAAACAAATAGAATGCACACGTCTAAACGCTTCCGCGGTCCAGGAGGGAGAGGAATTTAAAATTAATCAAAGTATGAACCATTGTTTGCTCATAGGTAGTTAATTGATCCCTTTACTAAAAAAACCAGTCGGACGGGAATCAATAAAATCTGTGAAGGCGATTTGGACTGCCCCATCAGAGTTAGATTTTTTCCCTTGCAAGAAGTTGTCCAAATTTCGAAAAAAATGGTAATCTGTTGGAGCAAGGTCCGGGGAGTACGGAGGATGTCTTAGACATTCCAATTGAAGCTCTTCTAATTTGGTAGCCGTCTGTTGTGCAGTGTGTGGTCTAGCGTTGTCGTGAAGTAGCAGTGGCGTGGAGCGATTGACCAGCCTAGGTGGTTTAGCCGCTAGCTTTTCCATCATGGTTTGCAACTGCTGACAATAGACATCAGCCGTAATAGTCTGGCCAGATTTGAGAAAACTGCAATGAACAATACCGGCACTAGTCCACCAAACGCTTACAAGTAACTTTTTTGGGGTTAATTTTCGCTTAGGGCAGGATTTGGCTGGCTGGCCAGGATCCAACCATTGCGCTGAGCGCTTCTGATTATCGTAAAGAATCCATTTTTCATCACAGGTAATGATTCGGTTTAAAATACCTTCATTATTGTGCCGGTTCAGTAATGAATAAAATTGCTTCAGTCAATTCGTGAGGTACCCATCTTTCAAGCTTTTTAATCTTCCCAATTTGCTTCAAGTGAATTAAAACAGTTCTATCACTAACACCGCAGCCTGTAGCTAACTCGGACGTGGTTTGCGATGATCCGCTTCCACAATAGCCTTCAATACTTCATTATCAACTTGGGTCTCAGGCCGTCCACGGGGCTTGTTCTGCAGGTCGAAATTTCCAGAACGAAAACGTTGGAACCAAAAACGAACTGTGTTTTCTTTTGCAACATGACCGCCATACACATCATTCACCCTTCGAGTCGTTTCCGCAGCACTAGTGCCACGGCGGAACTCGTACTCGTAAATAATCCGATACTTTAAGTTTTCCATTTTGTAAAATGAGTGACGCAAGCAGAAAAAAACAGAAAAAAAAAATGAATGACGGTCATCGAAGCACAAATACATGAGTAAATAGCTGTACAAATTTGAATTTGGAATTCCTTACCAAAGAGGAGAACATCGTGCTTAAAGTGGCCAGTACGAAATACGCCAATTTCATATGTAAGGACCTAATATAATATATTAGATAGTACGTTCAATATAATAAATCCGGCTTGTCTGAGGTCACATTATTAATTTACATTGTGACTTTTGACAACCGACATCAGACTAGATATCAAATATGATATAAGTAGAGAGAGCGAGATGGAGGCATTGCTATATGTATCTTCCTACTTTATGCTTTATTCTATTGTAGAAATAATATTTTTTGTAGTTTGTTGGGCACGTACAGACCTTTCTACCGTAAGTTTAAGCCAGTACGGAGGGAGAACCGTTAGCTTATTAATATTTGTATTGTTTTGCATTATAATTTATTGTATTGCATTGTATTGTATTGTATTGTACTGTATTGTATTGTATTGTACTGTACTGTGTTGTATTGTACTGTATTGTATTGTATTGTATTGTATTGTATTGTATTGTATTGTACTGTACTGTACTGTATTGTATTGTATTGTATTTTATTTATTAAAGTTCACCACATCATACATAATTCTATATCTGCAGTATATATGTTACAAGCTGTTTTCAAAAATACATGTCAATTATGGTAAACATAAATGTTACAAAAAATTAAAATAATAATACAATGAAAACATTACAATTTTAGATTTTTACGTAACAATAAGCAAAAATTACTAGCAAATCAGCGAATTAGGTATCAAATTGGCACTTAATGTTTTTTTTTAATTGATCAGCCCACTACCGAATATGTCAAGCTTTTAAGTCTTGATAGGTAGTGTTTATTCTGTTATATTTCTGTTGCATTGTATTACATTGCATTATATTGTATAGTATTAAATTTTTTTTGTACTGTATTGTATTGTATTGCATTGTATTGTATTGTAAACTCATCTAGAATTTAAAAAAAACAGAACAATGTCACAGAGTAATTGCAACATTCCGCTGAATTTCTTACAAATATCTTTGTTAAAAAAATAATTCTTTACCTAAAAACAGCCATCCAATCTTTACATTATCCGCTACATGCGTTTCACTGAACATCGGCATCGATGTAGGATTGTGGTGACCAGGTCTGATGTAGAACAGAGCAGAGTCAACGACGTTATCCTTCCATTCTTTCCGGTACCAGTATGTCTTCTGTGATTCATCTGCATGTTCACTTATAAAGTTATCTGTTTCCCTGGAATTGTTAATAATCTTGTCAGACTTAGGTAGGGCTTAGGTGTGAGCTACTACCGGGGTCCACAGGTAGCGGATAGTGGAACGACCGTAAGATATTGCGGTTAGCTGCTTCATGCAGTCCCCGACCACACACCGGCAGCGTTAGAGGTTGTAGTGGGGAGCCCTTAGGAAAGGCTCTTCCAGGAAATACTACAAAGATCCTGTGAAAACGTTGCGACATGGCGAGTCAATGCCGCCAGTAAATAAGCATTATCTTTCAACTACGGGCAGCTGCGTAGGTGGTAGACTGAACGAGTGGGAGCTTAGTAAGCCTGTACAGTCGTAAGTCATATTGTTGGCAACACCAGCGATGTGGAAGACAACGGAAAACCACCACATTATTTTTTCCCAGGATATCATTATGGATGAGACAAATATAACCATGGCCCTTAGTCCCCGGCAGACCTTAAGTGGTCAGAGGGTGCGAAGAATCTCCGGGTCAGCCATGAAGATAGAAACTTGGAACGTCCGCAGTTTCTACGAAGATGGAAATTTTGATTTCAACTCCAAGATCGGTCAAGGTGCTGTCTCGGATATTATTGGAAGGTTTGGTCTCGGCGCTCGTAATGACAGGGGTGAAAGACTAGTACAATTCTGCCAGGAACACGATTTTGTTGTTGCGAATACTTTCTTCAAATTACCACCACGTAGTCTCTATACTTGGCAATCGCCAGCACATAAGCCGGACAGGATTGTGCGAAACCAGATTGATTACTTGTTGATAAACAAAAGGCATAGAAATAGCATTAAATCGGCTAAAACAAACCCAGGTGCAGATATAGGTTCTGACCACAATCCAGTCGTGGCAATAGTCTCAGTAAAATTGAAGACAGTTTGCCGTCATCCTCAATCCAGAAAATTTGATTTTGACAAGTTGAGGGAAGTTGATAATCACGGTCCTGTTAATACAGTACAAATGTGGCAACTTCTTAAATCTTCTATTATTAAGACCAGCAACGAAATATTGGTGTCAGCTCCACGAGTAAAAAAGACCAACTGGATTACCAATGAAATGATAGACTTGATGGAAAAAAAGACGTAAAAACAAAAAAAGATAGAGAAAAATACGATGCGCTAAAGATCCTCCTACGAAAAAAGATAAGACAGGCAAAATAATCTTGGTATGGGGAGTTATGTTCAGAAATTGAGGAATTAGAAAGGAAGTATGACAGCTTTGGTATGCATAAGAAGATAAAAGAACTCATAACACCTAAACATCAAGGACGCAGCGAAATGACACTTCTTAAAAATCGATGGCAAATATACAACCTGCACTGATGACATGCTTAACACTTGGGAAGACTATATTAGTGAACTTTTCTGTGACTCACGACCAGAAAATATTAACCTCAAGTGTAGTGATGTTGGTCCATCTATTACAAAGCGTGAAATCTACTATGCCATAACAAAAGTAAAAACTCGGAAAGCTGTCGGAGCTGATAATATACCAACAGAGATTATAAAGGAAATTGAGGAATGTAACTTAGGGTGAGATCTATAGTGCGCACTTAGACTTTGCTCTGACTTAACTATCGAGCTAAGACACAGTCGGTATTTATAGAGCAAACTGCGAATCTCTCCCTAGTGTTGGCTTAGCTTAATCTCAAGTCCACGAAATCGACGACTTACCAAAAACTTTGACTATAAGCCTAACAAAAATAATGGCCCAAAATTTGCTTTACCATCATATCTTTTACTGGACTTTTTATTTTTGTCGGTTTTTAATGAACGGTGTTGCCATTTTGTATCGGAGTTCCATAGACTTTGGGAAAAATAGAATTTGAATTCAAAGAAATTATAAATGATCTTGATAAATACCTATGAAATGCATGAAATAAAATAATTACACATTATTATGGTATTTATTGTTGTTTATTTATATTATTTATGTAATTGTTCAAACCCCATTTTTGAGAAATCTTAAAAATAACTGGTGTGATTTTGTATGTCACCTGGCAGCCCTGGCATATTATAGTGACAACGAAATTCAAACCATAACCTAACCGATGTCTCTCGCTTCACATCTGTTATTTTCGTTTCCCTGAATCTTCTACCATTTATTACCTGACTACCCTAAAAAATTTGAGATAGGAGTGGAACATATGAAATTAAAAAATCTGTTAGAAATAGAATTTCTTCAACAAAAATATTAATTAGTATTAGAAATATGTATTACACTTAAAAAAAGAATCAGAAAATAAATGATTAAAATGAAACAAGTTTTGTTTTGATATTCTTTATTACCAAACAAATTACCTAGTTAAATTGTGCAATCACAGATTGCCGGAATGCTAGACCTGTAGGAGATCTTTCATTGTTTCTGTGTTACTCAACTTCTGCTGTCAGCAAGATCACTATCATCATAAGCATCGCCTCTCTGTATACCTATATTATGCAATACAGCACAAGCTATAATTATATATAACTAGTATTTGTCAATTTAGACTGTAGTCCTAGCTGTAAACATGGAAATTTCCTTTTTCACACTCCGAAAAACCTTTAAAAAATATGCCTAGTTCTTATTTGAGAATAATTATAAATATTGTCAGCTCTTGTCATTGGATTTAAAAGTGTTGTTAACATGAAGTTAAGTGCTGGATAACCGTTGTCACCTACTAAAACAGGCATTTTCTAAATATCCTGCTGTCGTGTGAACTGCCAGGCCACCTAGTCACTATAGCAAATATTTCCATATCAGGCCCTATTATTGCTTGCACATTTACAGAAAAATACCCTTTTTTATTTCTGTATGCTTCAGAGTGAGCGATACCTTTGGGTCTATTAATTTGTATATGGGTGCAGTCAATAGCTCCGATTATACTGTTTAGGCCATGGGGAGTATTAGATCTTCCTAATTCTTCAAACTTCGTTTTGGCTGTGTTCATATTTCTTGGAAAATTTACAAATCTAGGAAGTAATTTACTCAACTCTGCAGAGACTTTATTTATAATTAAACAGACTGTAGATTGGAAAGTATTATTAGTCACATATATGTTATGTTTGAAAGTCAGAAGACAAAAGTCTTCAACATATGTACTATTTAAAATCATTTGAGAAGAGGTATAATATATCAAATTGAAAAACCATACATATTTATGAACACAATATTACCTGAAAACATCCAGTTGCATTTTTATGCCTTAATGCAATAAGTATTTGCAATTGCGGTAGGTTTGGCGATCCTCTGTTGTTATAAGGTTGCAAGTTTGTAATGATCAGCGTCAGGATCACATTTAATACCGTGTGTTTCAAAATACGGTTCCTTCTTTTGAATTCATTCTCACCGTACAGGATGGAAGGATTTTGGTTTTATTAGTTCCGAACATATACAACACTTTAGGCATTCGTGGATTCATATCGGCTGCAGTTCCTACCCTTTCAATGTTTTCTATTGAAGATAGAACTCTCTCTCTCCATCATGTCACTTTCGATATTGATATTTCCAATTGAAAGCCAAATCACAAAACGTCACAGTGTTTCGGGAATGCGTAGGTCTTAAGTAGGTATACGATCCAGATTGGTCCAGGTCCAAGTCACAAAGCCAGTCGTTGTTTTGAAGAAAGATCAATTTAATAAATTGTCTTGTAAGTGGTTTAAAATTTTCAATTGTTGATAGTTGATACAAGTGCTCTGTTGCTGTTGTCAAAACATTGCGATCCGTTCTACGTAATAAAATTATTGTCATCTTTATTTATTTATTTAGTAATAAAGCCCACAACATCACACACAGTCATAAGTCCACCAACTATTTCACAAAATCCCACATCTAAAATGTGTGACAGTTAATGCAAGCATAAGTTTCTCAGTAAAAAAATCAAATAGAAATTAAAAAAAAAACACAACTAAAACACACACGACAATGCAAGCACACATTAAAATAAAATCAATTTTTTAACATAAACATAAAATAAAATTTTCAACAACTATGTGCAGAAAAAAAAAGAAAAATCATCTTTAAATAATTAATACATTTTCTAAAGGTTACTCGTGAATTTCTAGTTATTGCAATAATAAAATAAATGAATACATAAATAACAATAAATTGAAGATATATGTGTACCGTTTTAGATTTTTAAATATTTGTTATCGTTAACTTTTTTAAAGGATAATAAACAAAGTATTGCATGAAATGAAACATCAATTTGTATTTTGACATTTTCTGTCTTAGCTTGGGCTTAGCTTAATCTCACCGTTAAAATGTCTATAAATACGAAATCATAGTTTAACCTTAGTGTACACTAAGCAAAGTTTTTCGTAAGGTAAGTCTGAGCAAAGTCCAAGTGCGCACTATAGATCTCACCCTTAGATTATATCACAACCCTTTTTAATGGTATATACGACTCAGGAACCATTCCTTCTGACTGGCTTAAGTCAACATTTATCACTATTCGGAAAACAAAGAATCCCAAAAAATGCAACGACTATCGGACTATTTCACTTATGAGCCATGTTTTGAAACTCTTTCTGAAAGTGATACATAAAAGGATATACTCTAAATGTGAATCAACACTATCCTGCACCCAATTTGGCTTTCGAAGCGGTTTAGGAACGAGAGACGCTCTCTTTGGCTATCAAGTGTTGATACAGAGATGCTTGGACATGAACAGGGATCTTTTCGTCTGTTTTGTCGATTATGAGAAGGCTTTTGATAATGTACGACATGGTAAAATGATGGAAATACTCCAGAGAATTGGCTTAGATTATAAAGATTGCTGTTTCATTAAAAACCTATATTGGAAGCAAAGTGCTAATATAAGGGTAAACAGCAAACATTCTTCATATATCGAGATTCAGAGAGGTGTGCGTCAAGGTTGCATTTCCTCTCATCACCTTTGCTATTTAACTTGTATGCCGATGTAATATTTTCAGATGCCCTAGATAGTTGTCAACATGGCATAGCAATTAATGGCAAACTGCTGAATAACTTGAGATACGCTGAAGATCTTAATCGCAGAGAGC